CAAAAGGGGAGCAGTGTAACAGAACCCTGTACTGTTTTGCCTGAACTTAATCTACAGTGCTGCTGGGGAGTTTAAACAGAACCGAATGACTGGTGTTCGTATAACTATTGCTACCCAAAATACCGAACATCAGACCACCCAGGGGAACAGTTAATTACTATTTTACCTCCCAGCGATTGTGGAGCCGTTCGCATGGTTCAGACGAATCCCTTTGTCTAAGAATAGGTGGCCGCCATTTCGGGACTTTACACGTGTTCGCGGCCATCTTACGCACGAACGGCGGTGTTTGCCTGTGAACGCATGGAACTAAAAACGGATACGCAAACAGGCGAACGCCGCTGAGACCTCCAGGAGCTCGTAAGTTCGTGCTGAAACTACCGAACGACCGGCCGTTCGGTAGTTTTGTTTAAGCATGCATGGGGATTCAGGCGAACGGCAGGATTACTGTGGAGGGCAAGGGGTTCGTGGGGTTTTTATTCACGAACGGGGACCGACCGCAAGGCCAGAACTTGTGGAACTCTTTTCGGCTGAAAATCCTGTGCGGTCGGTCAAAACTTCAAAGACCCATAACTCCCGAACCCCACAACCGAATGACTTGAAATTCGAATATGTTATTCCCCTGAGTGGTAGCTATTAAGCGGTGCTGGACTTAAAGGTGTACCCCCTGTTTTTGGGGTACATCCAGAATGTGGGTAAATTTATGTACGTTATAATTATGTTATGTGTTTATCTGAGGGGAGGAGACGTGGGGGTATTACCCTGTGTGTAATTGGTTATTTTCATCCTCCCCCTGGGAGTGTCCTGTGTGTACTTGTTCCTAATAAAAAGCAGGCTGGTTCTCCCAGACCTCAGTTCTACTTGACCCTTCAAAACGTAGCCTCGTCTCGTTCTTGGAGGGGATTTATGGTGCCATTACTCTGCCTCATTTTTCAGTACTGCCGGATTATACCCTGGGATATCGTGGATGGGAACAAGGACTCTATTACTACACAGCAGCTTGCACAGAAAAGGACATCTCCAACGGCAGATACCCCTCTACAGCTGGGTAGCCGTTACACCTACCATTTTTATTTTTATGTTATTTGCTTTATTAGCACCAGGCATTAATCTATCTCTACAGGAGTGCAAGTATTTGAATATTTTATATATATATATATATATATATATATATATATAAAAACGTCCCAGGTGCATTAACCACTGGTTAAGCAGGCACCCTGGCCATCCCTAGAGAAGCAGACACCTTGCTCATCCCTAGGGGAGCAGGCACCTGGTCCATATCTAGCGGAGCAGGCACCGGGGCCATCCATATTTGAGCGGACACCTCAGCCATCCCTATTGGAGCAGGCACCGGGGACATGCCTGGGGGAGATGCCCTGCCACTTGCTCTTGGAGGTACCTGCTGGCTAGCCTCCTGCCCAAGGACTATGGGCCATGTACAAAGACCTATAAAAAGAATGTGTGACAGAACGCCGTCACTGAGTACTGTGCCTACCTGCTTGCCTGCTTTTTATTTCCAGGTCATCGGGCTGGGGATCTCCCTATCTAAGAGGCAATGTATTGTTTGTGGAGTCCCCTTGTTCACAAATTATGTTTGGGCTGGAATGGAAAATTGTGGTTGTCCAATTCTGCATATAATATTAAAACACAAGGGGTTGTTTGTTCCTGAAAGCTGATGATCATTAACATGTCAAAGGACTTCCTATCTAGGAGGCAATTAGGACATGTGTCAAATGAAAGAGTTGACGATGTATGTATCGCGCTCAGATCTCACGAACGATGTGCCAGAGTTCTGATATACAAGTCTGTTCGTACAATCTTGGGCCAAACGGATGGGACAACCGGCCTCTTAGCGGGATTTGTGCAGTTCCATTGCCAATTACAGTTCCGGAGATTTTACTACCCAGTACCGCTGAACCCTTGCTGGCAACAAGATGGCCGCCGCCTCGTGTTCGGTATGTGAATGGTCGACCACCTGGGGTTAGGTACTTAGCTTGCGGTTTACCGCAGAAACCACCACTTAGTTGAGAACACACGCCAGGTACGGGTGGTCATTGTTCGACAGTTCTTTTGTATATTTAGTAAGGATCTTGTTCGTCTACTTGGAATATACGAACGAGGCCACCTGGATTCCCACTAATTAGGCTGAGGTTAACCACAAACCACAGCTCCTGGGCGGTTAATTGTTGGCACACTCTGCCGTTATGATGGTCTATCGTTCGTTAGGTCTTTCGGTGGTTTGAAAGGTGACTGAGGTTAAGTGGAGACACACGACAAGGGCTGGGTGGTCTGCTGTTCGTATATACGAATGGCTTGCACTATTCATTTGTGTATCTGAGAATAGGGAAGTATCCAAACAGTGATAACAAAATATTATCCATAGTCGGGGCAACAGTAACCAAAATGTAGAAAAGTATTGCTCTTGTGGCAGATGGAGGGGCTTCCGTAACAAACCGGTCTCTCTCTCCAGCGGCAGTGTATCCTGCAAGGAGAGGAGACAACTGGTCTCTCTCCCCAGTGGCAGTGGATCCTGCAGGAAGAGGAGACAACCGATCTCTCTCCCCAACCACAGCTGGAGTTACTGGGAGTAGAGACTACCAGTCCCTCTCCCCAGCGGCAGTGTATCCTGCAAGGAAAAGGTGACAATCGGTCTCTCTCCCCAGTGGCAGTGTGTCCTGCAAGGAGAGTAGAAAAACGGTCTCTCTCCCCTGCGGCAGTGTATCCTGTAAGGAGAGGAGACAACCGGTGTCTCTCTTCGGCGGTAGTGTATCCTGCAGGAAGAGTAGACAACCTATCCCTCTCCCCAACCACAGTTGGAGTTATTGGGAGTAGAGACAATCGGTCTCTCTCCCCAGCAGCAGTGTACCTTGCAGGGAGACCTTCTATACTCTATGGAGGAGAGATCTAACCACTGGGAGCTGGGCCCAGGGTGGAAAGAGGCGGCGAGACCCCAACCAAGCTGCGGCAGATAGGAAGTGCTTATGGTGTCCGGGGCGAAGTGCTCATGTTACTCGGTGATAACTAGAAGCCGAAGTACCCAGTCAAGGTACCAGGCGGTCCGCCACAGGGGCCATACTTATTGGAGCAGGCACTTCGGCTAAATTAGCAGACCTTAGTTCAAGGGAGCTTGGACTGTAGACACAGTAAACTGTTTGGCAAAACCTTCATGAAGATACTTCACAAGCACATGAATGTTTGGCAAAGCCTTCATGAAGGAATTTCACAAGCACATGAATGTTTGGTGAAGCCTTCATGGAGGAACTTCACAAGCACATGAATGTTTGACGAAGACTTCATGAAAGAACTTCACAAGCACATGAATGTTTGGCGAAGCGTTCATGAAGGAACTTCACAAGTACATGAATGTTTCCACGACTCTGATTAAGGCTCAGAACTCCCTAAAGAAGGTGTTTTGAGGCACATTTCCTCTAAAAGTTTTTGGCAAGACTGGTCAGCAATTGGGTCATGCAACCTGCTGCTTCTGGCTTTTGGGCCTGTGACGAGAGCAATCTCGCCACATTGCATTGGAGAAGACTGGTTGCCCGCCTGCTGCCTTTAGACTATGGCCCCATGTTGAAACGCTTGATTTTCCCCTGCGGAGACACGAAAGCCGGGTCATTCGGTGCTGGCCCTGTTTTAGCAGTGATACCCCAGATAGCTATGCCATGGAGCCCATTCGTATAATGAAAGACTATGGGAAAGACTTTGGCTCCATGGCAATTGAACTGTATGTGTGTGCTCTGAGCGCCATTCAGTAATAATGTGCGCTCAGATCTGAGCTATCTGGGGATATGTTGAATGTACCTGTTTTGTTCAATGGCTGCACAGTTATATGTTTTTATGTGTTTTATTGTCTTTTGCTGCCATGTGTTCAATGGAGTTTTGCCTCTGTCCTTGGAGATAATTGGATTACTTCCGAATTATCTCCAGGATAGAAGACTCTGTGGAACTGGTTTTGGGCAGAAAAGCCATGCTTCCTTTGGTCACAAAGGACTACGATCTATCTTTTGAACCACTGGACCAATTTGGATGATTTTGACATATGTTTGTATTTGGAGTATGCTGATTCACATGTGAATGTGATGCATACTTTTCAAGTTATGAATAATGTGGAAAATTTTTATTTCTCTTCTTGTGATAATTACATTACCCATTGTGTAAGGTAATTGTATCACAGGCAGAGGGGAGGATTTTGTGTGGGAGTGTCTGAGTGTATTGTATGTGTTTATTGGTTGTGTTCCAAAACTCTGTGGGTGGTACTAAGGTGTATATAAGAACAAAAAAAACCCTCAGCTCTGTCTGTTCCTGCTTGACCCTTAAAACGGAGCCTTGTCTCGTTCTTGGGGGGATTTATTGTAGGCTGTTCCAGTTCGACTGATAGGAGTGTAAACCTGTATGGTTTTTCCTATTTGGCTGTTTACAGCTTTCGCATGGTTCCGGTTCGGCTGTTTATGGCATTCATATGCTTCTCCGGTTCGGTGGATTGGTGTCTACAGTAGCTGCCTGTATATCTGGAAGGGGAATATCTACTAAACGGCGGTTTAACCCTTTTACGCCTGGGGGTGCTGTTACAGGGCCCATGACCCTCACAACCCCAGTCATTCAATTCAGATATGGGTGGACGCTTTGACTTACCTTTGGAGAGTGGACAGAGGATGTGGTCGAGGCCATGCATGTTTCTCCTCAAGTAAGACATGTTCCGTTACCTCCCCTTTATGTGCCGGGTTGTACTGCAGGCCCTATTTTAAATTTTTTCCCAGAAGTGGGAAGAACTGATGTTGAAAGCATGGGTCTTGCAGAGTGTTCAGGGGTTTATGATCCAATTCACAGACGTCCCCTTCCATCGGCTCCTGCCTTGTCCCATCCAGTTTGCGGAAGACGACCGCCGTCTCATAGACCAGGAGATATTAGCGTTTCGAAACACAGGGGTATTCAACCAGCCAGAAATGGCGACTGTAGTGGTCACCCCGGATAGTAGAGTGATATCCACTGCCAGAGACGTCCTTTCCCCAAGTGTGAGTTGTGTTACAGCATTCGAAGTAATCATCCAAGTAGAGAAGCTGCTATAGTTTGCATAGCAGTTCCCTACAACAAGAGACAAGACTCTGTGTTGAGGATAAAAGTAAGACTGATTTAAATGGAGCCACAGCTGGCCTTTTATGCAAGGGGTTTCTGATGACATTGTGACGAGAGCAATCTTGCCACATTGCATTGGAGAAGCCTGGTTGCTCGCCTGCTGCCTTTGGATTATGGCCCCATGTTAAAAGACATCTTTTTCACTGCAGAAAATACTTATTCGTGCTTTTCTGACTGGTGTTCGGTAGATTCTCGGATTTACTGAATGAACTCATATAACCCAGATAGGTATGCCATGGAGCCTATTCATGTAATAAAAGACTTTGGCTCCATGGCAATTGAACTGTATGTGTTTGTGGTCTGAGCGCCATTCAGTATTGTGCACTCAGACCTAAGCTATCTGGGCATATGTTGCATGTCTGTATTTTATGTCATAAATGTAACCTTGTGTATTTTATTGTATTTTACTGTCTTTTTGCTGCCATGTGCTCAATTGAGTTTTGCCTCTGTCTTTGGAGATAATTTGATTACTTCTAATTATCTCCAGGATAGAAGATGTGAATGTGATGCATACTTTTCAAGTTATGAATAACGTGGGAAAATTGTATTTCTCTGCTTGTGCTAAATTACATTACCCATTGTGTAAGGTAATTGAATCACAAGCAGAGGGGAGGAATTTGTGTGGGAGTGTCTGAGTGTATTGTATGTGTTTATTGGGTGTGTTCCAAAACCCTGTGGGTGGTACTAATGTGTAAGAATGTGTACATAAGCACAATAAACCCACAGCTCTGACTGTTCACTGCTTTACCCTCAACACGGAGCTTTGTCTCGTCTTTGGGGGGATTTACTGAATGCTGATAGAGACTGATTGCTAGGAGTGTAAGCCGCTTGGATGCTTTTCCTATTCGTCTGCTAGCAGCTATTCGTATGGTTCCTGTTCGTGTGTTTGGAGTGCTATATATCGGATGCCGTTCGGGAGTTTGGAGCATTCACTTATTGGCGGTTCGTGTGTTTGGTGTTCTACAATAGCTGTGCCTGCATCTCTGGAAAGGGGGACGATCGCCTAAACGGTTTTTACCCCTTGTGTGCAAAACGGTCCGTTACAGACATATTCCAGGGGCATTCCCCACTAGACTTGCACATACATAATTACATTACCTCTCAGGTACAGGACATGCATAGTGAAAATACATGGTTAACAATGAGGTACCCCTCATACCTATATCCTGTGAAAGCCTGGATCTGAGCGCTCAACATATTTTGAATTCACTCAGATCCCATGAATGTAGCCGAAACACCACTGGAGTATAGTTGACCGACCGCACAAAACAGTTCCATGAAATCAGGCTGTGTGGTCGGTCTCTTTTGGGAGTACCAAAGTACAACTTGTAAGACAATTAGTCGTTAGTGCCTCCGCTCCCATAGTCCTAGTAGTTTGTGAGATGTTCTTACCGAACGCCGTTCATTTAGTGTGAATAGTACCGAACATCTGTGAGCATGGAAGTCCTAGCGGTGTTCGCGCTGTCGAGTGTCCAATTCTAGTTCCATACACTCGAAGATCAAACACCGCTGGCTGCATACGTATTTCAAGATAGCCGTTGCCACGTGTTCATACATACGAACACCCAGCCGTCCACTTAGAACGTTGAGGTGTTTGGAGGGGTCAATAAGGTTAACAAGTGCCACACTCTGGGTGGTCGGTTGTTCGGTAGTTCTTTCGTTAGTCGAACGGACAATGATGAAATAGGGCATAGCTTTATTTGTTCGAATGGATAGGCGAAAGGAATAGAATAAACTTTAAAAATCCAGGGACAGAGGGTCTGTCACAGCGACAGTTTCTTCATCAATATCTTCCTGGTCCGCAAGAAAACCGGAGACTTCCACCCAGTGATCAACCTGAGGAATCTGTGGCGAAACCGACCTCGCCACTGGGCATTGGAGAAGACTGATTGCCAGCCTTCTGCCATGTGACTATGGCCCCTGGGATGTATTGCCCTTTAAAGACATGATTTAGGCATAATGGATTTGTGTTGTGCTGCTTCTGGCCCTTTAAGAACCATCTGGGGACATACTGTGGAGTTACTGGGTGGCCACCATTTCATGTATCAGAGGCACATGGTGAGAACAATGGATGAAGCACATGGTGAGAACAATGGATGAAGCACATGGTGAGAACAATGGATGGCGGCCATTTTAACTCACAGACACTGTTTGGACTTTTCTACACGGTGCCATCTCGCCGGTATTTGGTGCAGTAGTTTTAAACTATACAACAGGGGACACAATATACAGTAATTATTTTTCATATAGCCTGTATATGTTCTGCGGAATCTGCATTAACCTGTATCTTCCAAACTACTGAACGGATCTGGGTGAATTTTGGATATGTGGTTCACCCAGATCCCCCGGTTCCAAGGATATATTTTGGGGGGGTTATTGCATGTTTTGGGGTCCTGTGATTTGTTTTATAATACTGTATTTCTCTGCCTGTGATAATTATATTAACAATTGTGTTCAGTAATCATATCACAGGCAGAGGGGAGAATTTTGTGTGGGAGTGTCTGTGTGTATTGTACGGATTGATTGGTTGTATTTCAAACCCTGTGGGCAGTACTATGTTTGTGGATTGTGAATAAAAGAGGCTGTATGTGCCAGTACAGTCAGTTCTGCTTGACCTCAAAACGAAGTGTCGTCTCGTTATTGGGGGAATTGGATTGTATGCTGATTGCCAGGAGTGTAAGCTGATTGTATGCTTTTCCTGTTCAGCTGCTTACAGCATTCATATGCTTGAGAGCATTCGTATGCTTCTCCGGTTCGGTGGTTGTGGTGTCTGCTGCAGTGCTTGGAGTCCTCAGGAAGCGCTAGGAGCATCCTGCAATGGAGGTACCCAGTGAGGGTGCCAGGTGATCCCTTTCAGAATCTTAATGTCCATGTGACCTATCGCCACTTCAAGATGGATGGGATCACTGTGTCATGGATTATTAAAGCTCTTTTTATTCTCTGGTTTGTTCGGTATACTGTGTTTGCCTAAAACTTTACTCTTGTTTTGTTCAAATACCAAACAAAACCACGAACTACCAGACCACCTGTATGCTACTTGTAACCGTCACCCCTGTCAACACCTCATTAACACTTGTAACTGCAGCATTCTAAACGGTCGGCTGGGTGGTCGCCGTTCGTATGTACGAACTTGTGCCATGAACACAGGCAGCGGTGTTTGCTCGTCGAGTGCATTGAACTTAAATCGGACACTCGACTGCCCAAACACCGCTGAACTTCCATTCCCGCCTACGTTCGTCTATATTCATCTGAAAGGAACACTGTTCGGTGGGAGCATACTCCTGAATTAGGCGCACATAAGCAGCATACGGACTAAGACCTACGTTCGGTATTTTGAGTATTTTCATACCCCTGAAAGAGACCGGCCGCTCATCCTGATTCCATGGAACTATTTTGGGCAGGAGCCTTGTGTGCGGTCAGTCAGAACTTGACCCCGATGGCGTTTTGGCTGCGTTCATGGGATATGAGAGCTTTTTGCATATGTTGGGCGCTCAGATCAAGACTATCCGGGGATATAGGACTTGAGGGGGTACCTGATGGTGCTGTGTGTATTTTGGACTGTATAAAAATTGTACATGTTCTGTACCTGAGAGATAATTTAATTTAGCTGTTTACTTTCAAGTAGAGAAACCATGGGGGGGATTACCCTGTAATGTTGATTCAGAAACCAATTGCAGGGGCTGTTGTGTAAAAGGCCATGTAAACCAGTTCACCCCCAGCATTCAGTCTCGACTGATGTCTGTGGGGGAAAGCTATACATCACTACTATACCTGCTTTGGATTATCAATATGGGGAAAGTCTACTTGTGATTGCTAATGAGACCAGAGTTGCTACAGAATAATTTGTTACTAGGGGGAAAAGGATATCTCTGGCGGCGAAACCAATGTTCCTACCCGGGTGGCCGTCACATCTAATCGGATGGTTCTTTTACCCCTGAAAAGATGCTGAACCTGGATATAATACAAAGCACTTTATTGTACAGGTACAAAAGTAACAGGTATCACCAAATATCCAACGTATATATCAAAGTAAGAATGTAGTCATACAAATACAATCAATATGAAAGACCGGACCAAAACAGAGAGTAAGGATAAGAGATAAGCAATAATGGATATGCAAACTAAATAGTATTAATCCAAATACAAAAGAGAATGGATACCTATATACAAATGTTGACCAAGTAGTGCATACCTGAACCAATTGAACCTGTTAAAGCGAATGAGAGGAGGGTGAGAAAATCACAGAATTGCCCCCAAGTTTCGGCCCTATAAGCCTTTATCAAGGGCGGAATATAATAGCAGAGTAGTGGATGGAGAATCAATATGAATGGTGGAAAAGATCTACATTGAAAGACTTACTGGAGAGCCGTGGCCGAACGGCAAGCAACTGCCTCAAACGGGAATTAATAGCAAAATTGATGGAGATGAACTAAACCACCACTATAACCGAAACGGTTGTCACAAATGTGGAGGAAGATGTGAACCGTTCGGTTAAAACTAGCACTGTTTGGGCCAAATCAAAGTGCTCGCCGATGCTGAAGCCTGGGGACAAGCGGGAATACCAATTACGCCTGGCGGAGATCCAGCGCTCAGGGAGCCAAGCAGCTGAAAGTCCAGCGGCCCCACCGAAACGGAAGAAGGTACCCTTCGCAGCATTTAAAAACTTTCAAGAGGCAGAGGGTGAAATAGATGGGTACCTTGCTAACTTTGAGAGGCAGTGTGCTTTACATAAGGTACTGTAGACGAATGGATACCGATTCTGGCAGGTAGAGCTGCAGAGGCGTTCAGTGCTATTGCTGATGACGAAATTCATCACTACCACACCGTCAAAGAAGCCTTGCTTGCCCGGTATGCAGTCACCCCAGAGTTGTAATGCCGACAGTTCCGTGAATCCACGAAACAAGGCAAAGACTCCTACACGGAATGGGCTTGCCGCCTCCACAGAACCCACAGAGTAAGTGCCAAGCCGTGTCGAGAGAGGATGTATTACAATTGTTTCTCTTGGAACATTTCTTTAACTTACTTACCCCTGATCTTCGGGAATGGATCCGTGACCCCTTACCTTGCTTGAAGATGATCGTCTGGCCGATGAGTATACTGATTCCAGAAAACCTGAGCAACCACTGGTAAGACCCCCTCTCCGCCCAGAAGTTCAGGCTCTGGTGTCCCCTAAACCAACTCCCTACCGGGAAAAAAACAAACATCAGCCCGCTACGCCAAAGACAGGGCTTCAGATGCCAACAGATAGGGCATATCTGAAGCAATTGTCCCGTAGAGCCACCCAGACCATCATGGGGGTGCCCCAACAACGCACCGCCCCAAGCCCCAGCCCCTGCCGCCCACTGCCTTGAAGCAGAGTCCAAGCCAGATGAATACTGGAGGGTACTCCACGAGGCTGACCCTGTTCAAGCAGCCACCCAAGACAACCGGCAACTAGTGCTGGTGAATGGGCAGACTGCTCGAGGCTTAAGGGATACCGGAGCAACACTGACCTTGGTGCAACGCCTCTTAGTGCAAGACAATGAACACACAGGACAATCAGTGGCTGTCAGGGAAGCTGGGGGAACTATAAATTGTTTACCCACTGCCCGCGTTCACCAGGATTGGGGAGCTGGATCCGGCACTGTGAACGTGGGAATCAAAGGATTTACCAGCAGAGGTTTTACTTGGAAATTATTTGGGACCCCTTACTTTTGCCTTCATCTCCAGGGAACCTGCCGAAGCACAGCCCGTCACTACGCGCCTACAAGCCCGGACTGCCAAGGCAGACTCAGAGCAAGGAGGGTTAGAGGGGGAAAGATTTATCTGGGAGAAGGACCGATTGTATAGACTCATCAAAACCCCATCCCAGAAGCTTCAACAGGTAGTTCCCAGTAAATGCCGGATGGAACTTCTCCAGATTGGGCATAATGTACCCTTAGGAGAAAAAAAGGGGGTAAAGGGCTGCGCTATAAAATGAATAACTTACAGTATATAAAAACTGAATCCGTACAGTGATAGAAAGTATAAAAATATATAAAACAAAGTCCATGCGATAGTAGAGATAAAATGTTAAAATGTCCAATAAAATATATAATAACGTCTCACTAGTATATGGATAAGCGTGAGTACAGTCCTCAGGAGTTGATCCGTCCGAGTTGTAGATAGTCCATATATGTGAAGATAAAAGCACAATAAAATTCCAATGGTGTAGTATGTACTTAAAAGATACGTGAAATAAAAAATGGAGGATAGTACACTCATATTTGATGGAGCTTTTGACCAGCTCTAGGATAAGGAGCACTTAGCGGTATAATCCCCGCTTGAGGATAAGTGGTAGCAGTAGGTCAATCCGTCCAACTTGGTGTCCGTAGTGGTCCGTAGAATATATGGAGACAATAATAGTGCTCTCAGTATGAAAGGGTAAAAAGGATAAAATAATAAGAATATACTCACAATGACAGAGCAGAAAATACTGCTCTATAGATGCAGCTCTGGTGGACTAATCCCCACCTTTGAATTGCTTGAGTAGGATACGGTAGAATGCCAGGAAAATTAATAAATTGAAAGAAAGTGTATATACAATAAAATAGGATTGGCCCTATAAAAAGGAATACCAAATAAAACTTTTTATTGTTAAAAATACACAGTATAAAACTATTTAACGTGTTTCACCTCAGGGGCTTTTTCAAAAATGGCAAGAAACAGAGTACCTGGCATAGAACAGTATATATAGTATCTTACAATAGTTAAAATTGACGCCTAAAACAATTAGTCCAATTATAAACAAGGTGTTTAAAATTTTTTTTTTGTGTTTCACAAATTGACACAAGAACTAATATTATGGTATGTTGGACTTATCCAACTCTAAGAGTTGGATAAGTCCAACATACCATAATATTAGTTCTACTCTCACATATATGGACTATCTACAACTCGGACGGATCAACTCCTGAGGACTGTACTCACGCTTATCCATATACTAGACGTTATTATATATTTTATTGGACATTTTAACATTTTATCTCTACTATCGCATGGACTTTGTTTTATATATTTTTATACTTTCTATCACTGTACGGATTCAGTTTTTATATATTGTAAGTTATTCATTTTATAGCGCAGCCCTTTACCCCCTTTTTTTCTCCTCTCTGTTGTCACCAAGGGATTTTGAGGGATTCCCTTGTTAGGGTCACTGCTTCCATTTACTGTTACTTAGCGCAGACTCCTTCTCTCCTCTTTCTTCCATAATGTACCCTTAGCAGGGCATCTGGGCGTATGCCGCACATCTCATAGGGCAACCCAGAAGTTCTTTTGGCCGGGAATCTCTAGCAATGTATGGCAGTACTGCAAAACGTGCAACATTTGTCAGAGAGTAGGGAAGAGTGGGGGTCACCCCAAAGCCCGGCTGCTATCCATGCCCATTATTGAGGAGACCTTTAGTTGGATAGGACCCCTAGCTAGACCTAGTCCATCCGGTAAGAAATATATACTTACCGTGGTGGACTATCCTACATGCTGCCTGTAGCGGAGTAGAGGTATAACCCACGATATCTCCGCTGGTAGTCATAGTCAGCATGCAAAATACAAGTAGCGTGATAAGTACAATCCTTTTTCCCCAACACCTAGACGACACACACTTTGGGAGTCAACTGAGCTTTTATTGCACCACAGCCATTTTTTTTACAAATCCCCATGCATGGGATTTATTTAATGACATTCCAGGGGTTTTCCCCTGGTGGATTCTGTGGAAAACTTAGTGTACAATAATATCTCCCATCATGCTTTTCTGTACTGGAGAGATAATTGCGTAAGAGTACACCTTTAATTACATTATCTCACTGTACAGAAAATTATACAATATAACACAAAAATACTGTAGCGGAGCTGCAATATTAAATCCCAATATCTCCGCTGGTAAAATAAAGTAATCCAAGAAAAGCGCTGAATGAAGGCAATATCCCAAATCCCCCAGTAACCGGACGAAACACAGTTCTGGGAGTCAACTGAGGCTTTATTGAAAAGTGACCAAATTTATACAGTTGTCCCTGCACAGGGTTTCCAGACTGGGACAGCAGGGGTTCTAATCAAGTTGACTGTGTGGGAAACTGACCATGCAAGGTCGTTTCCCAGCATCCCCTGCTGTACAGGGACAATAATGACATCATCAGGCATAGATAATTATATTAATAGTTGGTACAGTGAAATCTGGTATTTTACATTAAAATATATAACTTTGGTAATTTACAACAGATTTCCACGAATGACCCCTCATTAGATTGCAGGGATCTGAGTGTACAATCTCACTAATTACTGCTCAGATCCCTGCACAAATAGGCGAACGACACACAGAAAACCATTTTTAGTGACCCGGGTCTAGAAAGGGGAAACTCACGAACGGCTTTAATTTACCGAAAGAGCGAGGTTCCCGAACGCTATGGAAGTCCAGCGGTGTTTGGAAATCAAGTAGCCGATTTGAGTTCCAGGCACTCGACGATCAAACACCGCTGAACACTTAGCGTGGTCTCCCGTTCGGTAGTTAGGTAGTGTAGTTAGTTTCCCGAACAGTGTTGCACATTACTGTTCTGGAAACGGCTGATGTATCCCCATAGACGAACAATAGGGGATGTGGCCATTTTAAAGTCCTGAACACAGTTCACAGTAATAAAGTGTTTTACAGTCCCAAGTGGCTAGGTCTGCCACAAATACATAACTTGAGAAATATGCATCTGAACTTCCCTTCATTGAATGGCTGGGATCTGAGCGCACAATCTGGGGAAATACCGCTCCGATCCATTCGTTGGAATAGAAAAGCCATTCGAATGAAGTTATGGACCGGTCAGCCACGAGGTGCGAGACCCAAAATAATTCCAGGTAATTGTAGACTTTTACCGGTCTTCTTTCGGGAGTTCCTGTGAATGAACAGTCGAACATATAGGTGAATGCACGGGCTAGTTGGGTATGGAAAGTTTGTGGGGTTTAATCCACCGAACGCCGCTCAATGTTGACGAATGGATATATCCATATGAACGGCATGGAAGTCCAGCGGTGTTCGCGAGGTCGAGTAGCTGATTTTAGTTCCATGCACTCGTCGACCAAACGCCGCTGGACGTTCGTGAGCAAAGATGGTCGCCACCACCTGTTCGGTTATACGAATGGAGGCCACCAATTGAATCATTAGAGCTTTGCGGTTTCCCCAATGTTGCCAGTTGTTAATTGGAGACACACAACTCCCTTGTGTGGTCTCCCATTCGGCATTTTATTCGTTTCACGAACAGTATATCCCAATTCTGTTCGTGAAACTGGCATGCGAATGCCCATAGTCTTTACAGGGGGAAACAGACGAATGGACCCAATCTTTTGAACAATGTAGTGGCTAGTTTTGCCACAATGCTCCCCCAGAACCAGAAGCCGGCATACACAGTCTGATCCCAATGGATCGGCTTGGGGATGTCCGGAGGAGTACCCACAGATCACTTTTCAAGTTCAGTTTGTCTGGATAACCCGTCAGCGTTGCCATTTTGTTTTCCAGGGCGGTAGTGGATGGTAAAGTCAAAAGGCTGCAACGCTAAACTCCAGCGAAGCAGCCTGGCATTGTCTCCGGATACCCTGTTTAGCCACACCAACGGGTTATGATCTGTGAGTAAGGAAAAGGGTTGTCCATACAAATACGGCTGTAGCTTTTTAAGGGCCCTCACCACGGTCAGGCATTCTTTTTCTATGGTGGCGTAGCTTAGGAGTTTTCTGCTTAAGTATGCTCACCGCCATCTGCTCCGACTTGGCTCAGCACTGCTCCCAATCCAAATATAGGCACCTGTGTGGACAAGAAATTGTTTAGTTGGATCAGGAGCAGCGAGTACAGGTGCATTAATCAGAGTCATTTTCAATTGCTGGAATGCCTGTTCACACTCTGGGGCCCAGACTACTAGCTTAGGGAGGTTCTTACGGGTTAAATCTGTTTGGGGCTTGGCTAGGGTACTGTAATCAGGTACCAGGAGTGACTGAAAATAGCTATGTCATCTAAGTAGACGCAAGCGTACTCCTGTGTGACGAGGTACCCCTCGCCACTGGGCATTGGAGAGGACTGATTTCCAGCCTCCTGCCATGTGACTATGGCCCCTGGGATGTATTGCCCTTTAAGGAACTGAGTTGGGGCTTATAGACTTTTATTATACTGTTACTGACCCTTTAAGAACTGGATTTGGGCATAATGGATTTTTAGAATGCGGTTTCTGGCCCTTTAATTACTTTGGAGCAGTGTTGCAACTTTAAATTTGCACTTCGGATACAGCCGAAGTGCCGAAGTAGTCGAAGTGGCCGCCATTCGACATACGAACACATAGCGGCGGCCATTTGAATTCAGTCGAACACGTTCAGCGGTGTTTGGCCGTCGAGTTCATTGAACTCAAATCAGATACGCGACGGCACGAACACAAGAAATTTTAACTAAAGAAAACAGAATCCCCCCTGCTCAAATAGATTTTATTTTAGAAGGTATTAATATCATTTTAACCAACAACTATTTTTGTTTTTTTGACTCCTTTTACCTACAAAAACAAGGCACTGCGATGGGTACAAGGTTCGTTTTTGCATCGAGAGGTGCCGCAAGAATCTACTGGGTTTTCCCCTTTCGAGTTACTCTATGGGAGAAGGGTACAAGGTCTCCTCTTTCTCATTAGGCAATACTGGAAAGGGGAAACGGATGGTGAAGGAAATCCTCCAGGCGACCCAGGGGTGACAGTGATATAGATCCAAATATTGATCTTTGTTATATTCAGAGGAAGCCCAAATTGTTATTACAAGTGCACTTGTAGGAGTGCGAATTAGACACCAGTTGGTATTCAAAATAAGCCTCTGTCGTTTTATTCGTCAGTTGTGTTTTTATACATTAAAAGGTGCTTACATGCAAATACTGATTGGACAGTAGTAGGAAGGGAGTGAAAGGGTGAAAGGAGTACAGATAAGACATAGGGATGAACGTCATGTACATATAACAAATAAGTTCCAAGAAAGAGAAAGAACAGAATGATATGAGAAGAGACATCTCAGGTGGGGGCTATCTGCTCCCGGAACTAGACATATATGGTCTTCAGTGTCATTTTAAGCATCAAGTATTTCCTGAGTCCAAGTTAGTCAATTTTAATATAGGATATCATTATATGACACCTATAAGCTTGAGCTTTGGAATCAAGATAAATTCTATCACAATCCCCTCTTTTGATCCAAGGGTCACCCAAATGTCCAAGGTATTTCCAGGCCTGCTAGCCAAACCCTGTGGGACTTTCAGTTATTTCTTCATCACGGTTCCCTTGGACTGAGAGACCACCAGAATCAGCAGAGGAGAGTTCCTTAATTTGTTAGGCGAGGTAACATCATAAAACCCTTCCGAAGTTGGAGCTGGAATGTAAGTTAAGGTACGATCAACAGTAGGTTTGTTTTTACCTAGAAAGGTAAGTAGACATGAAAAAAATCTAAAGGTTATAAAAATGGACATAATAACAAATACAGCTAATAGCAAAACTTACAAAATGTTCTTAATTAGTAAAGTCAATCATGTTCCTAGCCCAAATGTCCAATCCCAATCCCCAAAGAAGCCAGTATCCTGTTTGATATCCTGTACTAAGTCATGTAAATCTTATATATGTTTATGGATCACAGTGCCATGGTCAGATAGGTTAAAACAGCACATACCTTCTATAGCTTCACAGCCTAAGTCATGTTTCATTAGTAAGTAGTCAATGGCTGCTCTATTCTCAAGGATTGCCTTCCTATTTGCCTGGGTGTCCATAAGTAACTCTTCTAGGGCCTGGGAAGTGGAATTTAAACCCTTTGCAAGGGAACAGGCTACAGCATTAATTACTCGGGTATTATACAATGCTAAGCCTGGGACTCCTACCATATAGTACGCTAGGGCAGAGTATTCAGATTTAGATAAGAGAGGGATTTCAGGGTTACAATCTACAGTAAGGGTGTTTTTAACATCTCTCCTGTCTCTCAGCAGTTTGTGTAGCTGGGTGGTTTTAGTGATCAGGTCAGATTTGGAGAACATGGTCATAGTTAGGCGAGAGATTGCACAGGGACATCCTGTAATGTTACCTGGGACATAAGCATAAGTAATAATTCCACAGGAGAAAGTCCATCCTTTAGGAAGATAGACATTGTAGTGGTAACTCACAACTTGGTGAGTTTTGGTACAATTCATAGTGGTGCTCAGGGCTCTACAATTCGTGGTATTTTTCCACCATGTGGGGCAAAACAGGGATTCAGTATTAGGGTCTCTTGAACAATTACATGAAAAAGACCAACATAGTTCAGAGGCTGTCACATTAATTGTCTTCAGGGCAAGGGGAGGCTTGCCTACCAGCGGGTAGAAAGCATAAGAATATAGTTATAGAGATTTATGGGGTCTATGGGTATGTAAGTACTTTCTCAACAGTGAGATGGGGATAGGGACAGCTATAAGACAAGAGAGACATGGTATAGACAAGAATAGTTGGTGAGTTTTGTGCTCCCTGTGGCAAAACTGTCCAAGTGTACTGCTTGTGTTTATGTGTAAATGCAAATATCCAGAGGGACACTGAAAAATGCATTTGCCAAGTCAATAACAGTAAATACCTTAGAGGAAGGTGGTATCTGTGACAACAAGGAGTGTGGGTTGGGAACGTTAGGGGCAATGAGTTCAGTTACAGCATTAATTGCCCTCAAATCATGTACCATACGGTAGACCACAGGATTCCCTTTCTCTTGCTTTTTCTTAATTGGGTACAATGGTGTGTTACAAGGTGAGGTGTTCTGGACAATTACCCCTGCCTGCAGTAATTCTTGCACAGATTGGGAAATAGCATCTTCCTGTGCTGGGCTTAGGGGGTATTGTTTTTTATAGGGAGGGGTGGCTCCAGGTAGGAGATTCACTTTGACAAGTCAATGGCAGGTTCTGGCACATGGCTGGGCATAGTGAGCGTTGCCAGGACGTTTGAAAGGGATATCATTTGTTTGTCCTCTAAATGCACAGACAATGTTACTTTTCCAGCGGGGCTATACTGGATATAAGAGCAGACAGTATATCACTGCCTAGTAGATGAGCAGGGGCATGAGGGCTGACAAGGATGCCTCCCAAGCCATCTGTAGTCTGGTGAAGAATATTTCTACAAATTCTTTCCCTTGTACTATATCACCTAATTTATGGGCTTTGTCCTCTGTCTTTACTTTAGCCCATTCTCTCATTGCAGTGACATAGCATGCTCCAGATGCAGACTTGGTTCTAAACCATTCATCTGTCTTTACTTGTTGCCTCTTCAGAGACTATCATCATGGGCATCAGTATATTTAGCAATTATTCTAGCCCAAATGGGGCCAGCTTTTAAGGAGACAAGTTTTAAATCCATCCAAGTACACTGGTAAGTAGCTTGAATGGTGGATAGAGACTGGACTAGAGCTAAGAAGGCCTTTTCAACATCTGGCAGCTGCTGTATTATTGCCAGTTGTTCACTAGGTGTCCAGGGCTTATATTCTTCCCAGTATTGGATACCTGAGCTCGGCTGTCTCTTCTCATGGTATACGCTCTCAACTTTGGGTATCATGGGAGTAGTAAATTGTGGAGCTAATGGCCACGCTGGGGTGTCTATGGGCGCAACTAGGGGTTCCCTTAAGTCTGGTGGACTACCCTCCTCCTCTAATGAACCCATAGGTCTTACTGGGGCTGCTGGGGAACCATATGAAGTCCCACTACGTAATATTACTAGAAAGAGAGGTTTTTCCCAGGATCTTGCCTACTCTGGGACCCTAGAGATCCAAAACATTGATAATATGGTACACCTTTTCTGGTGGTTTCTTTTCCATTTTTGGTCGACTTCTACTAGGTCATTATCTTCTAACCAACCTCTGTAATTTGCCATACATTCACTCCATATATGTGGGTCTAGAGTGCCCTCTGAGGGCATGCCAGCTTTCTTAAGTAACCTCTTAATATTCTTAATAATATTCTTAATTGCTCCTTGTCCTTTGTAATGCTTGACAATTGTCAAAGCTGTAAATCCCACCTTGAGTGCTTTGAGAGCCACCCATCTTAAAACTTGTAAGGATTAATTACTTCCTTACACAAGACAAACTGTACAAAAACAGGTGTATTTAAAACACTTAGAACCATTGCAGTGAAATTTTCACACTCTTGTCTTCGTTATTCTAAACACAGATCAGGAGATCTGCCCTTGGAGGATTCTAACTCAAATTATAAAACAAATGACAAGGCAAACAGTAAAAATAACTTAAAGCCCACATATATATTCCACTATCTCAAGATTCCTTTCACAAGACATAACATCCACTTGAATAAAACCATAATGCCACAGAAAACAAGTTCTTTAGATCAAATGTTTTTAAGTCGTTCCTTACCCAGACAGACTAGTAGGATGTGGATCTGAGAGCAAAATTGATAAAGGTAGAAAAACATTTTACTTACCTTGCTGCAGCTGATTTCGCTGTCAGAGGGACGTCCACCTGTACGCTATTGTCCGAGTCTTTCGACCGTCAGATCCTGGGTGTAACGGCTACCCTGGTAGAGAGAGGGTATCGGCCGTTGGAGACGTCCTTTTTCCCTGCAAGCTGCTGTGGAGAAGTAAGCTGGTATAATCCCATTCACGATATCCAGAGTAAAAGTCAGGTTCAGCTGTAGCAGGAGCAGAATAACATTCCCAAATAATCCCCTTCCAAGAACGAGACAAGGCTTCGTTTTGCAGGGTCAAGAAGATCTGAGGTCTGGGAAACCCAGCCTGCTTTTTATTAGGAACAAGTACACACAGGACACTCCCAGGGGGAGGATGAAAATAACCAATTACACACAGGGTAACACCCCCACGTCTCCTCCCCTCAGATAAACATATAACATAATTATAACGTACCTAAATTTACCCACATTCTGGATGTACCCCAAAAACAGGGGGTACACCTTTAAGTCCAGCACCGCTTAATAGCTACCACTCAGGGGAATAACATATTCAAATTTCAAGCCATTCGGTTGTGGGGTTCGGGAGTTATGGGTCTTTGAAGTTTTGACCGACCGCACAGGATTTTCAGCCGAAAAGAGTTCCACAAGTTTTGGCCTTGCGGTCGGTCCCCGTTCGTGAATAAAAACCCCACGAACCCCTTGCCCTCCACAGTAATCCTGCCGTTCGCCTGAATCCCCATGCATGCTTAAACAAAACTACCGAACGGCCGGTCGTTCGGTAGTTTCAGCACGAACTTACGAGCTCCTGGAGGTCTCAGCGGCGTTCGCCTGTTTGCGTATCCGTTTTTAGTTCCATGCGTTCACAGGCAAACACCGCCGTTCGTGCGTAAGATGGCCGCGAACACGTGTAAAGTCCCGAAATGGCGGCCACCTATTCTCAGACAAAGGGATTCGTCTGAACCAGGCGAACGGCTGTATTCTCCAGTAATGATATTCCCTTGCAATGATTTCGCCATTTTTCACTGTTTTAGTCCACAGGGCTTTGGTGCTGGTGAAGTCCTGTTACACTGCTCCCCTTTTGTGGAACACCCCGGCAGACCCGGATTGATCCTTTTCGGGTCAACTTGGGGCTGTCCGGTCCTTTGTTAGGGTAATAGTTCTGTTTGTCTGGACAGACCATCGGCATTTCCATTAAATTTGCCAGGGCGGTATTGGATAGAGAAGTTATAGGGTTGCAGTGCGAGGCTCCATCTTAATAAACGTCCATTGTCTCCAGCTACTCTATTCAGCCATACCAGGGGGTTATGGTCGGTGATTAGAGTAAATTCCTGCCCGTACAAATATGGGGTGAGTTTCTTTAGTGCCCAGACTAGGGCCAAGCATTCCTTTTCCACTGCCGCGTAACTCACTTCCCTAGGTAACAGTTTTCTACTGAGATACGCGACAGGGTGCTCGCCTCCATCCTCACCGACCTGGCTTAGAACTGCCCCCAGTCCATACATGGATGCATCTGTATGGGCGACAAATCTTTTGTTAGGGACGGGGGCAGACAGGACAGGTGCATGGATTAGAGCATTCTTTAGGGCTTGAAAGGCGGTTTCACAGGCGGGAGACCACAGGACTATCCTAGGCAAGTTCTTTTTGGTTAGGTCTGTCAAGGGTTTTGCGATGGCGCTATAGTCTGGGACAAACCTCCTATAATATCCTGCCGTCCCCAAAAATGCTAAGACCTGAGTTTTGGTGTGGGGTGTGGGCCAGTTAGCTACCGCTTCAACTTTAGCGGGTTCTGGGCGCTGCTTCCCACATCCCACCCGGTGTCCCAGGTACTGGACTTCGGCCATGCCGAAGTTACACTTCTCTGGTTTCAGAGTCAAGCCTGCGGCTCGAATCTGATCCAGTACGGCTTCGACATGCTTTAAATGCTCCCCCCAGGTTTCGCTATAGATCGCAATGTCATCCAGGTACGCGCAAGCGAAATCCTGGAAGCCATCAAGGAGGCGGTCCACTAAGCGCTGGAATGTAGCCGGGGCGTTTTTCATCCCAAATGGCATGACTTTGAACTGGTACAAGCCAAATGGGGTGACAAAGGCCGACTTAGGGATAGCCTCCTTGTCCAGGGGGATCTGCCAATATCCTTTGCACAAATCGATGGTGGTCAGATAACGTCCCCTGGCAATGCGATCTAATAGCTCGTCTACTCGGGGCATGGGGTAGGCGTCTGTCACGGTTCTGTCATTGAGACGCCGATAATCGACACAGAACCGAGTGGTTCCGTCCTTCTTGGGGACTAGAACCACCGGGGAGGCCCACGGACTGTCCGAGGGCTCTATCACCCCCAGTCTTAACATTTCTTGGATCTCCTTCCTCATCTCCTCTTTTACTGCCTCAGGGATCCTATAGGGGGTTTGTCGGAGAGGGGTTTGTCCTGGGGTCTCTACATAGTGGGTTGCTAAGGGGGTGTACCCGGGCTCTTGGGAAAACGTCAACCCTTTCTCAGTCAGCAGCTGTCGGATCTGTCCCTTTTCGGCGGGAGTTAACCGCTCCCCTAGCTGTACGGTATTGAGTAGGGTTTTAGGTTCTGGGTTAGCTAATAGGTCGGGTATGGGTAAGCTGTCAGGGTCTTCGGCAGCGGGTATGCATATGGCGGCTATATCCTCGGGTCTTTCCTGATATTCCTTTAGTAGATTTACATGAAAGGACTTCCGGATCCTTTCATCTTTGTTGCTGGCGATTACGTAGGTGGTGTCACAGACTTGTGCTACCACTTTGTAAGGGCCCTGCCAGGAGGTCTGGAGCTTATTCCCTTTGACAGGTCTAAGTACCAGCACCTTCTGGCCTACTTGGAAGGTTCTCTGGCGGGCGCCCTGATCGTACCAACGTTTCTGGTGCCCTTGGGCCGCATGGAGGTGGTCCCGTGCCATCCGGGCTAACTGTTCCATACGGTCCCGCATTTCTAATACGTATGGCACGATGGGTACCCCGTCGTGTTCTGTCTCCCCCTCCCAGTGCTCCCGGATGAGGTCGAGAGGTCCTCGTACTCTCCGGCCATAGAGCAGTTCAAAGGGAGAGAACCCTGTGGATTCCTGCGGCACCTCCCGATAAGCGAACAGGAGGTGCGGCAAGAATCGTTCCCAGTCTCTGTATTCCGCTGTAAAGGTCCTCAGCAATTGCTTTAGGGTACCGTTAAAGCGTTCACAGAGACCGTTAGTCTGTGGGTGGTATGGGGAACTAAGCAGGGACTTAATACCACAGACCTTCCACAGCTGTTGAGTTAGGTCTGCGGTAAACTGGGTCCCTCTGTCGGACAGGATTTCCTGGGGGAATCCCACTCGGGTGAATATCCCGACTAGAGCACTGGCGACAGTGTCAGCCTGGATATTCGTCAGAGCGACGGCTTCTGGGTAGCGAGTCGCATAGTCCACCACGGTAAGGATGTATTTCTTACCAGAGGGACTGGGGTTAGGCAGAGGTCCCACTAGGTCGACTGCTACCCTGCTAAATGGTTCCTCGATCACAGGCATAGGTAGCAGTCGAGCTTTAGGGTGATCCCCTCTCTTCCCTACCCGTTGGCATACGTCACAAGTACTGCAGTAACGTCGCACATCCTTCGAGATCCCCGGCCAAAAGAAGGTCTGGGTGATCCTGAAGGTGGTGCGGTTACCCCCTAGATGTCCTGCCAACGGAATGTCGTGGCCAATTCGGAGAAGTTCCAACCGGTACTTTTTGGGTACCACCAGTTGGCGCTTCTGCGAAGGGGCACAGCCTCTCTTTCTGCCTTCAGTCAGTCTGTATAACCTGTCCCCATCCCATAGAAAACTTTCCCGTCCGTCCCCCCCATGGTCAGCTAATTCTCGATACTTTTGGAGGGTGGGGTCCTCTCTAGTTTCCCTCCCAAACTCCTCTGGGGTGTCCCAAGCTATGGGCCTGCCTATCGTAGTGGGGTGACATGTGGGTGCTTGGCTTACCTGGGTCTCCCGGCCTGTATTAGGATCATCTGCGACACGGGACTGTGAACGGGTGGTTACGGGACAGGCGGCAGCAGGTGTGGGCAAATATGCTGAAGTTAAAGGTCCAATGTCATTTCCCAATACGACCTCGGCAGGCAAGTTGTCCATAATGCCGACGGTGGTTTTTCCTGATCCAACTCCCCAATCTAAGTGTACTCGGGCAGTGGGCAAGCGAAAAACAGCGCCCCCTGCGACCCGAACAGCAACAGTGCGGGTAGACACATCCTCCGGCTTCACTAGGTGTTTTTGGATCAAAGTGATGGTAGCCCCGGTGTCTCTTAGGCCTTGTGCTGTTTGTCCATTCACCTTAACCTCCTGTCGGTGATGTTGTCGATTGTCTGGGGAAGCAGCTTGTATGGGGTCTGCTTCATACAAAATCCCCAGACATTCTTCAGGGCCCATTTCGGCTTCCAGACAGTGAGCCGCAGCGGGTCGTGCTGCAGGGGCCTCGGTGCTGGGAGTTGTACGCCTCCAGTTGTTGTTACTGGATCTTAGGGGACAATACCGGGCAATATGTCCGAGGTTGCTGCAGTGATGGCACGTCACCTTTGACAAATCCCGGGGGTAGTTAGTAGGCCCCTGAGGCCGGGGTGGTCCTGGTGGGACTGGAGCTCGAAATTCTGGGCGTGAGACAGCGGCTGGGGCACGTGGCTCTATTTTGTGAGCTTGTCGGGTAGTACCCTGGCTTACTTTCCTTGTCTCGGCATATTCGTCGGCCAGCCGAGCCGCCTCTTTTAAATTGGCGGGGCGCCGATCTCGTACCCAGTCTTGTATGTCCGCCGCCAAATCTTGGAAGAAATGTTCCATTAAGAATAACTGTAACACCTCCTCACCCGTGTGGGCTTTGCATCCTTGGACCCAGTGAGATGCTACTCTCTGTAGTCGGTTTGCCCATTCCATGTGGGAGTCCACAGCTTTCTTTTTGGACTCCCGAAAGCGACGACGGTAGGCTTCTGGGGTTACCGCATACCTGGTGAGCAGTGCCTCTTTTACTTTTTGGTACTGCGTGATTTCCTCTGTAGTGAGTGCTCGGAAAGCCTCATTAGCTTTCCCTGACAGTTTTCCCGCCAGGATAGTGACCCATTGCTCTGGCGGTATGTGATGTAGTGAGCACTGTCTTTCAAAGTCAGCCAAATATCCATCAATTTCCTCGTCATTTTCTACAAAGGCTTTAAATGCAGTAAAGGGAATTTTCGTTACCGTAGTAGTGGGTAGCGGGGTAGGAACTGTCTGGGTAGTGAGCTGTCGGGCTCTTACCAGTTCCGTTTCTTGTTCCCTCTTGGTTTGTATTTCTTCCCTTGTTTCCCGGAACAGTTGGGTTATTAGTTCTGTAGACGTGACTGGATACAAAGCTAACCTCCGCTGCACAATTGCAGTAATCACATCGTCCTCACTGATGGGTGCCATGGGTTCAGTTACCTCCATGGACCTGTCCATCTCGTCCAGCTCCAGCAAGTCAGCTATCAGCTCCCTCCGTGGTCTGTTGCTGGCACTCCTACCACGATTCTCCAACAGATCCTTTAGTGTGGGTCTTTTCAGCTTCGCATACTGTGACTCCATTCAGTGCTTGCTTGTTGGATAAAAGGACCATCCCACCGCTGCCACCAATGTAACGGCTACCCTGGTAGAGAGAGGGTATCGGCCGTTGGAGACGTCCTTTTTCCCTGCAAGCTGCTGTGGAGAAGTAAGCTGGTATAATCCCATTCACGATATCCAGAGTAAAAGTCAGGTTCAGCTGTAGCAGGAGCAGAATAACATTCCCAAATAATCCCCTTCCAAGAACGAGACAAGGCTACGTTTTGCAGGGTCAAGAAGATCTGAGGTCTGGGAAACCCAGCCTGCTTTTTATTAGGAACAAGTACACACAGGACACTCCCAGGGGGAGGATGAAAATAACCAATTACACACAGGGTAACACCCCCATGTCTCCTCCCCTCAGATAAACATATAACATAATTATAACGTACCTAAATTTACCCACATTCTGGATGTACCCCAAAAACAGGGGGTACACCTTTAAGTCCAGCACCGCTTAATAGCTACCACTCAGGGGAATAACATATTCAAATTTCAAGCCATTCGGTTGTGGGGTTCGGGAGTTATGGGTCTTTGAAGTTTTGACCGACCGCACAGGATTTTCAGCCGAAAAGAGTTCCACAAGTTTTGGCCTTGCGGTCGGTCCCCGTTCGTGAATAAAAACCCCACGAACCCCTTGCCCTCCACAGTAATCCTGCCGTTCGCCTGAATCCCCATGCATGCTTAAACAAAACTACCGAACGGCCGGTCGTTCGGTAGTTTCAGCACGAACTTACGAGCTCCTGGAGGTCTCAGCGGCGTTCGCCTGTTTGCGTATCCGTTTTTAGTTCCATGCGTTCACAGGCAAACCCCGCCGTTCGTGCGTAAGATGGCCGCGAACACGTGTAAAGTCCCGAAATGGCGGCCACCTATTCTCAGACAAAGGGATTCGTCTGAACCAGGCGAACGGCTGTATTCTCCAGTAATGATATTCCCTTGCAATGATTTCGCCATTTTTCACTGTTTTAGTCCACAGGGCTTTGGTGCTGGTGAAGTCCTGTTACACTGGGTTTTGGCACCAAATTGATATAGATCCAAATATTGATCTTTGTTATATTCAGAGGAAGCCCAAATTATTATAACAAGTGCACTTGGAAAAGTGCGAATTAGACACCAGACGCGTGTTAGTTATAAAACTAAGCCTCTTGTTTATTCGTCAGCTGGGTTTTTATACATTAAAAAGTAAGTGCTTACATGCAAATACTCATAGGACAGTAGCAGGAAGGGAGTGAAAGGGTAAAAGGAGTACAGATAAAACATAGGGATGAATGTCATGTATATATAACAGGTTCCGAGAAAGAGAAGAAACAGACTGATTTAGGAGAGACAGCTCAGGTGGGGGCTATCTGCTCCCGGAACTAGACATATATGGTCTTAAGTGTCAGTTTAAACATCAAACATTTCTTGAGTCCAAGTTAGCCAATTTTAATAAAGGATATCTAATATGACACCTATAAGCTTGAGCCTTGGAATCAAGATAAATTCTATCACACGTCTGATCCTATATAGTAATATGTTTTATTACATGTCGTCTGACTCTATATAGTAATATGTTTTATTACATGTCATCTGACTCTATATAGTAATATGTTTTATTACATGTCGTCTGACTCTGTATAGTGATATGTTTTATTACATGTCGTCTGACTCTGTATAGTGATATGTTTTATTACATGTCGTCTGACTCTATATAGTGATATGTATTATTATATGCCGATAAGGAAGGTTTCCAGGTCTGTATTGGATTTATCCTGGCGTTCAGCGTTCATTCTCCATCATGCGTTCACCTTCCAGCCGTGAACTGGAAATAAAAGAATGTTCGGGTTAAAATCTCAAAGTAGCGCAATGTCACTCATGGCTGGGACTACGAATCTTCCTGTCTCTTTGCAGTTCTAGTTTCTCCTTTCTTTCTCAGGGTCTTAATCCCACGTCTCTCTCCATTCTGCTTCTTTCTCTACCCCGGGTCTTACTCTATACCCTGTCTCTCTCTATACCCTGTCTCTCTCTATACCCTGTCTCTCTCTATACCATGTCTCTCTCTATACCATGTCTCTCTCTATACTGTGTCTCTCTATACCATGTCTCTCTCTATACCCTGTCTCTCTCTATACCGTGTCTCTCTCTATACCCTGTCTCTCTCTATACCCTGTCTCTCTCTATACCATGTCTCTCTCTATACCATGTCTCTCTCTATACCCTGTCTCTCTCTATACCATGTCTCTCTCTATACCCTGTCTCTCTCTATACCGTGTCTCTCTCTATACCCTGTCTCTCTCTATACCATGTCTCTCTCTATACCCTGTCTCTCTCTATACCATGTCTCTCTCTATACCCTGTCTCTCTCTATACCATGTCTCTCTCTATACCCTGTCTCTCTCTATACCATGTCTCTCTCTATACCCTGTCTCTCTCTATACCATGTCTCTCTCTATACCCTGTCTCTCTCTATACCCTGTCTCTCTCTATACCATGTCTCTCTCTATACCATGTCTCTCTCTATACCCTGTCTCTCTCTATACCATGTCTCTCTCTATACCCTGTCTCTCTCTATACCATGTCTCTCTCTATACCCTGTCTCTCTCTATACCATGTCTCTCTCTATACCATGTCTCTCTCTATACCGTATTCTTCTCTTTACCGTGTCTCTCTCTATACTGTGTCTCGCTATATACCGTATCGTTCTCTTTGCCGTGTCTCTCTCTATACTGTGTCTCTCTATATACCGTATCGTTCTCTATACAGTGTCTTTCTCTATACTGTGTCTCTCTCTATACCGTATCTCTATCTATACCATGTCTCTCTCTATACCGTGTTTCTCTCTATACGTGTCTCGCTCTATACTGTGTCTCTCTCTATACGGTATCTCTCTCTATACTGTGTCTCTCTCTATATATGTCTCCCTCTTTATACTGTATCTCTCTATATAGATGTCTCTCTCTATACTGTGTCTCTCTCTATACCGTATCGTTCTCTATACAGTGTCTCTCTCTATACTGTGTCTCTCTCTATACCATATCTCTCACTATACCATGTCTCTCTATACTGTGTCTCTCTCTCTAAACCGTGTCTCTCTCTATACTGTGTCTCTCTCTCTATATACGCCTCTCTATACCATGTCTCTCTCTATACCGTGTCTCTCTCTATACTGTGTCTCTCTCTCTATACCGTGTCTCTCTCTATACTGTGTCTCTCTCTCTATATACGCCTCTCTATACCATGTCTCTCTATAATGTGTCTCTCTCGCTATACCATGTCTCTCTCTATACCGTATCTCTCTACATACCGTGTCTCTCTCTCTATGCTGTGTCTCTCTCTATACCGTATCGTTCTCTATACAGTGTCTCTCTCTATACTGTATCTCTCTCTCTATATATATATATATGCCTCTCTATACCATGTCTCTCTCTAAACCGTGCCTCTCTCTATACTGTGTCTCTGTCTCTATAAACGTCTCTCTCTATACTATGTCTCTCTATATATACATCTCTCTCTATATACGTCTCTCTCTATACTGTGTCTCTCTCTATACCGTATCGTTCTCTATAGTGTCTCTCTCTATACTGTGTCTCTCTCTATACCGTGTCTCTCTCTATACTGTGTTTCTCTCTGTACCATATCTCTCTCTATATACATCTCTCTCTATACGTGCCTCTCTCTATATACATCTCTCTCTATATACGTCTCTCTCTCTATACCGTATCGTTCTCTATACTGTGTCTCTCTCTATATATGTCTCTCTCTATACCGTGTCTCTCTCTATACCGTATCTCTCTCTATGCCATGTCTCTCTATACTGTGTCTCTCTCTATACCGTATCTCTCTATACTGTGTCTCTCTCTATACCGTATCGTTCTCTATACAGTGTCTCTCTCTATACTGTGTCTCTCTCTATACCGTGTCTCTCTCTATACTGTGTCTCTCTCTCTCTATAAACGTCTCTCTCTATATCGTGTCTCTCTCTATACCGTGTCTCTCTCTAAATACATCTCTCTCTATATACGTCTCTCTCTGTATACTGTGTCTCTCTCTATACCGTGTCTCTCTCTATACCGTGTTTCTCTCTATATACGTCTCTCTCTCTATACCGTGTCTCTCTCTCTATACTGTGTTTCTCTCTATGCTGTGTCTCTCTCTATACCGTATCTCTCTCTATACCATGTCTTTCTATACTGTGTCTCTCTCTATACTGTATCGTACTCTATACAGTGTCTCTCTCTATACTGTGTCTCTCTCTATATCATGCCTCTCTCTATACCGTGTCTCTCTCTATAAACATCTCTCTGTATAATGTGTCTCTCTCTATACGTATCTCTCTCTAAATACATCTCTCTCTATATACGTCTCTCTCTGTATACTGTGTCTCTCTCTATAACGTATCATTCTCTATACAGTGTCTCTCTCTATACCGTCTCTCTCTCTATACTGTGTCTCTCTCTCTATAAACGTCTCTCTCTATATCGTGTCTCTCTCTATACCGTGTTTCTCTCTAAATACATCTCTCTCTATATACGTCTCTCTCTGTATACTGTGTCTCTCTCTATACCGTATCGTTCTCTATACTGTGTCTCTCTCTATACCGTGTCTCTCTCTATACTGTGTGTTACGGTACCTTCAGTAATAAATGTGAATGCTCCCCGTTCACAATAATGTTGTCTGGTAGCGTATACAATACAAGCATGCGAACCGCCAGCCAGGGAACACTCCAAACTCCCGAACGGTACCCGTACGGCTCCTTCCCTTCACGAGCTCCAAATACACGAACTGCAAATATCAGCCGAACGCCAATATTTTCCAAGCGGCAAATAATTCCAATGAGCAGTCTCTAGTCGCCGGTAATAAAATCCCCCCAATAACGAGACCAAGCTCCGCTTTGAGGGTAAAACATGAACTGAGTTTACTGTGTGCTACCTGCCCGTATTTATGCAGGTCTCCCACTTGGTGGACACTCCTCTAAGGGACCAAATGGGAGACTGGAATAACAGATGAACATGGGGACATTTCAGACATACAATCCCACAATATTCCCAGCATGCATCACAGTTTCCTCCCCTCTGCTCGGGAGATAATTGAGAAGTAATTCAATTATCTCCCAGAGCGGAGGCAAATCGCCATTTTAAGTACAATTCACAAAACACATAAAAATACATAACTTTATAACTGCCGAACATATTACATTCATGTAACACATCCCCAGATAGCCTGGATCTGAGTGCATATTATTGGCGAATAGCACTCAGATCCCATACGCACAGTTCAATCGCCATGGAGTCAAAGTCTATTACAGTTCTTCGGTATGCGATTGACTCCATGGGAAGGCTATCTGGGGGTAAGTCCATTCGTGCCTTTAAATCTCCCGAACGGCCGGTGTTCGCACACTTCTGTCGATTGAGAAGGGAGGTCGACGGCTTCAGCGGTGTTCGGTTGAAAAAGTGTCCGTTTTCAGTTCCATGAAATAACTGTCGAGCACTGCTGGTCTTTCGCATGGTTAAAATGGCCACCGCCTCGTGGTCGACATACCAACGATGACTACCCTGTATTCGGTTTTAATTGAGAAGTGTCTGTGGTTAACCGCAACATTCTAATTGGGATCAATAGGTTAACCAGCAGCACACTTCTCTTCTGGGTGGCCGTCCGTTCAGTAGTTCCGTTCGACAGAAAAATACATTCCCTTCAACAAGGCATACGAATGGGGAAATTCATGCAAACGGCAAAACAGACGAACACAGCAATTCTAGTTCATACGGATGGGTCTGTCACACGGCTCCCCCCTTGTGGAACACTCAGGCAGACTCGGCTTGACCTTTTGGCGGGTCAACTTGGGGATGACCGGACTAGGAAGAAGTAGGGACGTCTGTTTGCCAGGATAACCCATCCGCATTCCCATTCTGCTTACCGGGTCGGTAGCTGATGGTGAAGTTGTAAGGCTGCAGTGCCAAACTCCACCTCAGCAGTCTGCCATTGTCTCCTGAGACCCGGTTAAGCCAGACAAGGGGATTGTGGTCCATGATAAGGGAAAACTCCTGCCCGTACAAATAAGGGCTCAACTTCTTCAGTGCCCAGACCAGGGCTAAACACTCTTTCTCCACTGCCGCATAACTCACTTCCCAGGGTAATAGCTTTCTGCTGAGATATGCGACAGGGTGCTCTCCTCCATCTTCCCCAACCTGGCTCAGCACAGCCCCCAGTCCATACATGGAAGCATCTGTATGGACGAGAAAACATTTGTTGACTGGGGCAGCCAGGACAGAGGCATTTACAAGAGCTTGCTTCAGGGCCTGAAACGCGGCTTCACAAGCTGGAGACCACAGGACCTGCTTAGGTAAATTTTTCTTAGTCAGGTCAGTCAAGGGCTTGGCAACTGTACTGTAGTCGGGGACAAAACGTCGGTAATACCCTGCCGTCCCCAGGAAGGCCAATACTTGGGTCTTGGTGATAGGTGTGGGCCAGTTAGCTACAGCTTTTACCTTGGCTGGCTCTGGTCTCTGGCTCCCACATTCTACCCTGTGACCCAAGTACTGCACTTCTGCCATGCCTAGATGGCACTTGTCTGGTTTCAAGGTCAGGCCTGTGGCCCGAATCTGTCCAGCACCACCCCCACGTGTACTAAGTGTTCTTCCCAGGACTCACTGTAGACCGCAATGTCATCCAGGTATGCACATGCAAATTCCTGGAAGCCATCGAGGAGCCTATCCACCATACGCTGGAAGGTAGCCGGAGCATTCTTCATCCCAAATGGCACGACCTTAAACTGGTACAGACCAAATGGGGTGACGAATGCCGACTTAGGGATAGCATCCTCGGCCAGGGGGATCTGCCAATAACCTTTACACAGGTCAATGGTGGTCAGATAGCGCCCCCTGGCAATGCGGTCTAATAACTCGTCTACCTGGGGCATCGGGTAGGCGTCAGTGGTGGTCCGCTCGTTGATCGCCTGTAGTCAACACAGAACCGGGTGGTCCCATCCTTCTTAGGCACCAGGACTGCAGGGGAGGCCCAAGGGCTGTCTGAGTGCTCGATGACCCCCAGCCTGGTCATCTCCTGTATCTCCTTCCGCATTCCTTCTCGGACTGCTTCAGGGATACGGTATGGGGGTTGTCGTAGGGGGTTCTGTCCGGGTGTCTCGACCTTGTGCACAGCTAGGGTAGTGTACCCGGGTTCTTGGGAGAACGTCGCCTGCTTCTCCCACAGAAGCTGTCTTGCCTGTACCTTCTCTGCGGGGTTTAACCGGTCCCCTAGCTGCACAAGACTAGTAAGGTCAGTCTGGGGATCCTTCTCTAATAAGTCGGGTAAGGGTAAATTCTCGGGGTCGTCGGCAGCTGGGGCACATACTGCCGCCACATCCTCTGGTCTCTCCTGATACTCCTTCAGCATGTTCACATGAAAGGATCGCTGGATCCTTTCATCTGCACAGCTGGCTATAAGATAGGTAGTATCACATACCTGGGCTAACACTTTATACGGGCCCTGCCAAGATGCTTGCATCTTGTTCGTCTTCACAGGCTTGAGCACCAGAACCTTCTGCCCCACCTGGAAGACCCGCTGTCGGGCACCCCGATCGTACCACCTCTTCTGTCTCCCCTGGGCCGCCTGGAGATTCTCCCTTACCATCAGGGATAGTTTCTCCATGCGGTCCCGGAGTTCCAGGACATATGGTACTATGGGGGTCCCTTCTTGCTCTGTCTCCCCCTCCCAGTGCCCTCTAATGAGATCCAGGGGTCCGCGGACCCTTTTCCCATAGAGTAACTCAAAGGGGGAGAACCCAGTAGATTCCTGGGGCACCTCTCTGTATGCAAATAGCAGATGAGGCAGGAATCGCTCCCAGTCTCTGCAAGTGTCAGTAAAGGTTCTCAACATCTGTTTGAGAGTACCGTTAAAGCGCTCGCAGAGACCGTTAGTCTGTGGATGATAAGGTGAGCTAAGCAGTGGTTTAATGTCGCACACCTTCCACAGCTGCTGGGTAAGCACAGCGGTGAACTGAGTTCCCTGGTCGGAGAGGATCTCCTGAGGGAACCCGACCCTAGTGAAAATTTTAACCAGGGCATCAGCAACTGTCTCTGCCTCTATATTAGACAGCGCTACTGCCTCTGGATAACGTGTAGCATAGTCCACCACGGTGAGAATATACTTCTTACCGGATGGGCTAGCCCTGGCCAGTGGACCCACAATGTCAACGGCTATGCAGGAAAAGGGTTCTCCAATGATAGGCATCAACTGAAGCCTAGCCTTTGGGTGATCCCCCTGTTTACCTACCCGTAGACAGGTGTCACACGTGCTACAATAAACCTACACATCTCGGTTAAAATTGGGCCAGAAAAAGTTTTGTGTGATTCTATGAGCTGTGCGGCGGGAACCTAGATGGCCCGCTAATGGCACATCATGCCCAATCCGCAGAATCTCCTGCCGGTATTTTGCAGGTACCACTAGCTGTCGATTCTGCGGAGGGGTACTCGGTTTCTGGGACGGTTTAGGGATCCTGTACAGCCTATCCCCCACCCACTCGTAATGCTCCCCATCTACCCCTTCTCCCCCATAATCGGCCCTGGCCCTGTACTTCGCTAACGTCGGGTCTTCCCTAGTTTCCTTCCCGTACATCTCTGGGGTATCCCAGCCTAAAGGTACAAGTCGGGGTAGAGAGTCTTACCTGGGTCTCAGCAGCAGGTGGGCCGGTCTCGGCGGCACGGGTCTGGCCATGGGTCGTGACAGCGTCCACTTCAACGGGACACATGGGAGCGAAGGCTGAAACAAGGGGCGCCATGTCATTGCCAAGGAGAACATCTGCTGGTAAGTCCTTCATGACCCCCACATTTACATGTCTAGCGCCCACTCCCCAATCCAAATGTACTCGGGCAACGGGTAGACGAAACACGGCACCCCCGGCTACTCGCACTGCGACCGTGTCCCCGGTATGTTGGGCCTCGGACACCAGGTGCTTCTGAAGCAAAGTCATGGTTGCACCGGTATCCCGTAGACCACTGACCTCCTTCCCGTTGACCTTTACACATTGCCGGTGGTGCTGTCTGTTATGTCGGTGGGCAGCTTGAACAGGGTCTGCCTCATGCAGGATGCCCCAGCACTTCTCTTCCTCTACACAGTGAGCAGCTGGGAGAGGTGGTCGTGGATTGCCGCCGGCTGGTCTCCTCCAAGACTGGGTCTGGTTGGCACTGTTCATCAGGCACTCCGGTCGCTTGTGCCCTGGCTGTTTGCATAAGAAGCACCTAATGGGTTGCGAGTAATCCCGTGAGTTGAACCGGGGTGGCTGTTGATACTGGGCAGACGGAGTGGGTGCTGACGGGCGATTCATTGGAGGCTGGTAGATGTTAGCTGCTGGTGGTGCTGCTGGCCGGTACTCCACTCTGGCGGAAGTCTTACTGATGGAACTGTCCAGTTTGCGGGCATCCGTATACTCGTCAGCCAGGCGAGCTGCTTCATGCAGAGTGGAGGGTTTACGGTCCCTTACCCACTCTCCGATCCCTGGGGATAATTTGTCGAAGCAATGCTAAAATAGGAACATCTGCAGCACCTCTTCCCCGGACACAGCCTGGCACCCCGCCATCCAGTGGGCAGCTGTGCGGTGCACTTTGCATGCCCATTCAACATACGAGTCCCCAGCTGTTTTAACAGTGTCTCGGAACCCCCTCCTGTATGCCTCCGGTGTGACGGCATACCTGGAGAGTAAAGCTTCCCTGACGGCCCCATAATCCCCAATCTCCTCATCAGGAATGGCCCGAAAAGCATCGCTGGCCCAGCCGGATAACTTGCCGGACAATATAGTAACCCAGTCTTCCAGTACCTCAAAATCAGCAAGGTACCCATCAATCTCTCCTTCTACCTCTACAAAAGGTTTAAATGCAGTAAACATTTATTTCTTTCCCCCGGGTTTGCTGTGACTGGGGCTGCTGCAGCACCGCTTTGGCGTAGCAGGTTGGCCTCCACAGCGGCCATGATCTGGTCGATGATCTCTGCAGATGGGTTGGGACCATAATGGGCCAGCCTGATTCTTACCGCCCGGTCAAAGCTTGCCTCCTAGGGGGTTCTGTCAGCTGTGCTGGGTCCATTGCTTCCCTCTGCCTCTGGTACTCCATCCATTTCCAGCAATAGTGCAATAATCTCCCTCTTCCTGAGGTTGTCTGGCTTGTCCACCTCTTTGTTCTAATAAATCCTTTAGGGTAGCTCTTTTCAGACTTTGGTATTGTAATTCCATTTAATCCTGGTTGTAGTGGTCTCTCTGGGTGCTGAGGGTCATCCCACCGCTGCCACCAGTTGTTATGGTACCTTCAGTAATAAATGTACAAACCGCCATTTAGTGAATGCTCCCCGTTCGCAATAATGTTGTCTGGTAGCGTATACAATACAAGCATGCGAACCGCCAGCCAGGGAACACTCCAAACTCCCGAACGGTACCCGTACAGCTCCTTCCCTTCACGAGCTCCAAATACACGAACTGCCAATATCAGCCGAACGCCAATATCTTCCAAGCGGCAAATAATTCCAATGAGCAGTCTCTAGTCGTCGGTAATAAAATCCCCCCAATAACGAGACCAAGCTCCGCTTTGAGGGTAAAACACGAACTGAGTTTACTGTGTGCTACCTGCCCGTATTTATGCAGGTCTCCCACTTGGTGGACACTCCCCTAGGGGACCAAATGGGAGACTGGAATAACAGATGGACATGGAGACATTTCAGACATACAATCCCACAATATTCCCAGCATGCATCACAGTTTCCTCCCCTCTGCTCGGGAGATAATTGAGAAGTAATTCAATTATCTACCAGAGCAGAGGCAAATCGCCATTTTAAGTACAATTCACAAAACACATAAAAATACATAACTTTATAACTGCCGAACATATTACATTCATGTAACACATCCCCAGATAGCCTGGATCTGAGTGCATATTATTGGCGAATAGCACTCAGATCCCATACGCACAGTTCAATCGCCATGGAGTCAAAGTCTATTACAGTTCTTTGGTATGCGATTGACTCCGTGGGAAGGCTATCTGGGGTAAGTCCATTCGTGCCTTTAAATCTCCCGAACGGCCGGTGTTCGCAGACTTCTGTCGATTGAGAAGGGAGGTCGACGGGTTCGGCGGTGTTCGGTTGAAAAAGTGTCCGTTTTCATTTCCATGAAATAACCGTCGAACACCGCTGGTCTTTCGCATGGTTAAAATGGCCGCCGCCTCGTGGTCGGCATACGAACGATGACCACCCTGTATTCGGTTTTAATTGAGAAGTGTCTGTGGTTAACCGCAACGTTCTAATTGGGATCAATAGGTTAACCAGCAGCACACTTCTCTTCTGGGTGGCCGTCCGTTCGATAGTTCCTTTCGACAGAAAAATACATTCCCTTAAACAAGGCATATGAATGGGGAAATTCATGCAAACGGCAAAACAGACGAACACAGCAATTCTAGTTCATTCGGATGGGTCTGTCACACTGTGTTTCTCTCTATGCTGTGTCTCTCTCTATACCGTATCTCTATCTATAACATGTCTCTCTATACTGTGTCTCTCTCTATACCGTATTGTTCTCTATACAGTGTCTCTCTCTATACTGTGTCTCTCTCTATACCATGTCTCTCTCTATAAACGTCTCTCTCTATACGTATCTCTCTCTATACCGTGTCTCTCTCTAAATACATCTCTCTATATATACGTCTCTCTCTGTATACAGTGTCTCTCTCTATAAACGTCTCTCTCTATACCATGTCTCTCTCTATACTGTGCCTCTCTCTATACCATGGACAAAAAAGTAAATCTACACTGTATAAAATACTAGTGTAGATTAAAGGGGTAGCACAACAAATATATACAACCTGTAGATAATACAAAAAACTTCCTTCACAAGATCTACAATATAAGAAAAATCACATAATAGTGAAGCATGTACAAACAGTGTATAATACACTCCCGGAGGCAGAGAACTTACAGGACCAAACTGTAGATCTGAACTTGTCTCCCTTCCATAGGGTATATGGATAAACGATTCTTCTCTCAGGAAGCTTGTGTATACGGACCGAAGGTGTAAATTCAAGACGCTCAATCCTCAGAAGGAAAAGAGGTATATAGAGCAGTATTGTAGATAAAAAATAATTTATTTATACAAAATGCACTTACATCAAATGAAGCTCATAGCAGCATGTCACCACTAGCAAGTGGTACCCAGGAGAAGGAGTCTCTCTGTAGTAGAATGTGAACATATATATTTAAAAAATACTAAAAAAACACACATAAAAAAACAAAACAAAAAAAGGAGAGTAAATATATATATGTAAAAAGAGTATATATCCAACGCGTTTCGTCTTTTGAAAGACTTCTTCAGGGATAGAGAATTAAAAATTCTATTTTCTTTATATAGCCTTCACCACTTGAAATTGCTGCGGGAAAAAAGTTCACTTCCGGGTTCGGACTTCTCGATTTCTAATTGGACACCCATCGTGATGACTTCCGGTAGATGTAACTAGATGTTTTTCATTTCCGCGTTCCAAGCTGGAACGCATGGCGTCCATAACGTGTGGCTAGATGTTTTCATTTCCGCGTTCCAAGCTGGAACGCATGGCGCCCATAACATGCAGTACTATGCTATGGACAACACTTCCGCGTTCCACCGTGGAACGCACGGACAAACCCAGGCACACATGCTGCACTGGGAACACCGAACGTCCCAGAGTGGGACACAGAGTAAAAATACCGATAACCATCTACATACATAATGTGAAATAATATACAACAAAGAGATATATAAATAAAAATAAAAACAATAATATACCTATCAATATACCGATATCATCAAGGTACTATATGGAACAAAAACTAAAAAATACATAATATAAACATGTATATATATAAAAAAATAGAGTGTAGATATACCCAAATCCATATCCACATATACATCCATATATAGAAGAAAACCATACCTATCCTTCTATCTCAATAAAAAATATATATATATATAGGGAAAAAACAAACATAAAAAACATCAAACGTATAGAATAAATAATTACAAAAGGCCCGCCAGACCAATATCTTGGTTAAGACCTCTTTTAAGGGTATTAAGTGTATAAATCCAAAAGGCCTCTTTTTTGGCTAGATCATTAATTCTATTTCCCCCTCTCCAATGAGGAGTTACTTGATCTATACCAATGGCAATAAAGGTGGACCAATCAAATAGATGACAAGAATTACAATGATTTGGGACACTATGTTCCGTTTTTTGATTTCTAATATTATTAAAATGCTCCCGGAGTCTAGTATGTAGGGTCCTGGTGGTTCTACCCACATACTGAACTCCGCAACCACATTGTAAAAGGTAAATCACATATGTGGATGTGCAATGGATAAATTTCTTGATATTATATGTTTGATTAGTATAAAATCCTACAAAAGAGGTAGATTTTCTTTTTTGATAAATACATGTGGAACATGTTCCACATTTATGGAAACCTGGAGTTTTTGTGGATTGCAAAAAGTTCTTCGAATTTGGACCTTTAATCAATTTCGGTAACAAACTAGGTGCCAATTTATTTTTAAGGGTGTCTGCCTTCCTATATATAACTACAGGCCTTTCTGGAATTTTATCTCCTAAGACATCATCTCTTTTTAAAATGGCCCAGTGTTTTTTAAGGATTTTTTCAATTTCTTTGGCTTCAGAACTGTACTTGGTAATAAATGCAAAATCTTTGTAGTTATAATTATTTTTATTTTTATTTTTTTGGTTAAAACTTTTATCTTTCAAAAATTCTGTACGATCTTTGCCCTTTATTTTTACAATATCATCTTGTATATGATCTATATTATACCCTTTTTCCACATATCTGTTTTGTATTAGTTTTGATTGTTCTTCAAACATTTGGACACTAGAACAATTTCTTCTCATTCGAGTTATTTGGCTTTTAGGGATATTGTTTAGCCATACTGGATGGTGTAAACTAGTCTTTTTTATTGCTGTATTGCAATCAGTTTTTTTAAAGAAGGTTTTTGTGTTTAAAGTATCATTTTCTACATATAAAGTTAGATCCAAAAAATCTATAGTAGACGGATGGATGTTATGGGTAAAATTAAGATTATAGTCGTTTAAGTTTATACTTTCAATAAATCTTTCTAGACTCTGGACATCTCCTTCCCAAATGATAAGTACATCATCGATGTAGCGCCGCCATAGGACAAGGTTCCCCCCCATACAAGGTCCCAGCTGGATGCATGAAGCCTCCCAATGGGATACATATAAGTTGGCAAAACTTGGGGCGGACCTTGTCCCCATGGCGACGCCACATCGTTGTAAAAAAAAAGGCAGTATCAAACCAAAAAAAATTCTTTTCCAAAACAAATTGGATACAGGACACCAAAAAATCAATCTGAGTGGAGTTTAGAACATGTTGTAGGACTAGAACGTCTCTGATAACCTCCAAACCCTTAACATGAGGGATATTGGAGTACAGGGAGGTAACGTCCACTGTAGCTAATATTTAAGATGGTTTCCAAATGAATGACTGTAAACTTTGAAGGATATGAGTAGTATCTTTGACAAAAGAGGGACACAAAGATACATAAGGTTTTAAAAAGAAGTCCACATATTCCGAGAGATTGCACGATAAAGAATTAATCCCACTAATAATGGGTCGACCTGGAGGGGTCGTCACACATTTGTGGATTTTGGGGAGAAAATAAAAAATGGCTGTTTTACAAAAGGGATTAAAGATGTACTGAAATTCTTTTACTGAAATAATAGCTTGATCCAAACCCTTCTGGAGTAAAGATCTCAAATCTTCCAAAAAAGGTTTTGTAGGATCCTTAGCAAGCTTTTTATATGTAGACTCATCTCCCAAAATTCGGTAAGCTTCTTGCATATAATATTCCCTACTCATGATGACCGTTCCGCCCCCTTTATCGGCCTCTTTTATAACCAAATTATAATTCTTTTTTAATGTATTTAGAGCTTGTCTTTCTTTATTAGTTAAATTACATTTAGAATTTTTGTGTTTCCATTGAATTTTGTCAAGGTCATTCTGGACCAAATCATTAAATACTTCTAAAAATCTTCTTTTTTCATGGGAGGGATAAAAATTAGACCTTCCCTTTAAAGATGAAGAGTCCAGAGTCTAGAAAGATTTATTGAAAGTATAAACTTAAACGACTATAATCTTAATTTTACCCATAACATCCATCCGTCTACTATAGATTTTTTGGATCTAACTTTATATGTAGAAAATGATACTTTAAACACAAAAACCTTCTTTAAAAAAACTGATTGCAATACAGCAATAAAAAAGACTAGTTTACACCATCCAGTATGGCTAAACAATATCCCTAAAAGCCAAATAACTCGAATGAGAAGAAATTGTTCTAGTGTTCAAATGTTTGAAGAACAATCAAAACTAATACAAAACAGATATGTGGAAAAAGGGTATAATATAGATCATATACAAGATGATATTGTAAAAATAAAGGGCAAAGATCGTACAGAATTTTTGAAAGATAAAAGTTTTAACCAAAAAAATAAAAATAAAAATAATTATAGCTACAAAGATTTTGCATTTATTACCAAGTACAGTTCTGAAGCCAAAAAAATTGAAAAAATCCTTAAAAAACACTGGGCCATTTTAAAAAGAGATGATGTCTTAGGAGATAAAATTCCAGAAAGGCCTGTAGTTATATATAGGAAGGCAGACACCCTTAAAAATAAATTGGCACCTAGTTTGTTACCGAAATTGATTAAAGGTCCAATTTCGAAGAACTTTTTGCAATCCACAAAAACTCCAGGTTTCCATAAATGTGGAACATGTTCCACATGTATTTATCAAAAAAGAAAATCTACCTCTTTTGAAGGATTTTATACTAATCAAACATATAATATCAAGAAATTTATCCATTGCACATCCACATATGTGATTTACCTTTTACAATGTGGTTGCGGAGTTCAGTATGTGGGTAGAACCACCAGGACCCTACATACTAGACTCCGGGAGCATTTTAATAATATTAGAAATCAAAAAATGGAACATAGTGTCCCAAATCATTGTAATTCTTGTCATCTATTTGATTGGTCCACCTTTATTGCCATTGGTATAGATCAAGTAACTCCTCATTGGAGAGGGGGAAATAGAATTAATGATCTAGCCAAAAAAGAGGCCTTTTGGATTTATACACTTAATACCCTTAAAAGAGGTCTTAACCAAGATATTGGTCTGGCGGGCCTTTTGTAATTATTTATTCTATACGTTTGATGTTTTTTATGTTTGTTTTTTCCCTATATATATATATATTTTTATTGAGATAGAAGGATAGGTATGGTTTTCTTCTATATATGGATGTATATGTGGATATGGATTTGGGTATATCTACACTCTATTTTTTTATATATATACATGTTTATATTATGTATTTTTTAGTTTTTGTTCCATATAGTACCTTGATGATATCGGTATATTGATAGGTATATTATTGTTTTTATTTTTATTTATATATCTCTTTGTTGTATATTATTTCACATTATGTATGTAGATGGTTATCGGTATTTTTACTCTGTGTCCCACTCTGGGACGTTCGGTGTTCCCAGTGCAGCATGTGTGCCTGGGTTTGTCCGTGCGTTCCACGGTGGAACGCGGAAGTGTTGTCCATAGCATAGTACTGCATGTTATGGGCGCCATGCGTTCCAGCTTGGAACGCGGAAATGAAAACATCTAGCCACACGTTATGGACGCCATGCGTTCCAGCTTGGAACGCGGAAATGAAAAACATCTAGTTACATCTACCGGAAGTCATCACGATGGGTGTCCAATTAGAAATCGAGAAGTCCGAACCCGGAAGTGAACTTTTTTCCCGCAGCAATTTCAAGTGGTGAAGGCTATATAAAGAAAATAGAATTTTTAATTCTCTATCCCTGAAGAAGTCTTTCAAAAGACGAAACGCGTTGGATATATACTCTTTTTACATATATATATTTACTCTCCTTTTTTTGTTTTGTTTTTTTATGTGTGTTTTTTTAGTATTTTTTAAATATATATGTTCACATTCTACTACAGAGAGACTCCTTCTCCTGGGTACCACTTGCTAGTGGTGACATGCTGCTATGAGCTTCATTTGATGTAAGTGCATTTTGTATAAATAAATTATTTTTTATCTACAATACTGCTCTATATACCTCTTTTCCTTCTGAGGATTGAGCGTCTTGAATTTACACCTTCGGTCCGTATACACAAGCTTCCTGAGAGAAGAATCGTTTATCCATATACCCTATGGAAGGGAGACAAGTTCAGATCCACAGTTTGGTCCTGTAAGTTCTCTACCTCCGGGAGTGTATTATACACTGTTTGTACATGCTTCACTATTATGTGATTTTTCTTATATTGTAGATCTTGTGAAGGAAGTTTTTTGTATTATCTACAGGTTGTATATATTTTTTGTGCTACCCCTTTAATCTACACTAGTATTTTATACAGTGTAGATTTACTTTTTTGTCCATATTATATTGGTGTATGTGAGGTACACTGCTGGGTGTTTGGCACGTTTCCTTTTGTCTTGGTTGGGAGATTATATAGTACTTCCTTCTTTTTTTCTCTCTATACCATGTCTCTCTATACTGTGTCTCTCTCTATACTGTATCGTTCTCTATACAGTGTCTCTCTCTATACTGTGTCTCTCTATACCATGTCTCTCTCTATACCGTGTCTCTCTCTATACCGTCTCTCTCTCTATACTGTGTCTCTCTCTCTATAAACGTCTCTCTCTATATCGTGTCTCTCTATACCGTGTCTCTCTTTAAATACATCTCTCTCTATATACGTCTCTCTCTGTATACTGTGTCTCCCTCTATACCATATCGTTCTCTATACAGTGTCTCTCTCTATACCGTGTCTCTCTCTATACTGTGTTTCTCTCTATGCTGTGTCTCTCTCTATACCGTATCTCTCTCTATACCATGTCTCTCTATACTGTCTCTCTCTATACCATGTCTCTCTCTATAAACGTCTCTCTCTATATTGTGTCTCTCTCTATACGTATCTCTATACCGTGTCTCTCTCTAAATACATCTCTCTCTATATACGTCTCTCTCTGTATACTGTGTCTCTCTCTATACCGTATCGTTTTCTATACTATTTCTCTCTCTATACCGTGTCTCTCTCTATACCGTGTCTCTCTCTAAATTGTGTCTCTCTCTATATACGTCTCTCTCTATACGTGTCTCTCTCTATACCGTGTCTCTCTCTATATACACGTCTCTCTCTATATCGTGTCTCTCTCTATACCGTGTCTCTCTCTATATACGTCTCTCTATATACGTCTCTCTCTATACTGTGTCTCTCTTTATACCGTATAATTCTCTATACCGTGTCTCTCTCCATAAATGTCTCTCTCTATATACTGTGTCTCTCTCTATACCGTATCGTTCTCTATACCATGTCTCTCTCTATACTGTCTCTCTCTATACTGTGTCTCTCTCTATATATATATACGCCTCTCTCTATACCATGTCTCTCTCTATAAACGTCTCTCTCTAAACAGTGTCTCTCTCTATACCGTGTCTCTCTCTATACCGTATCTCTCTCTATACCATGACTCTCTATACTGTATCTCTCTCTATACCATGTGTCTCTATGCTGTCTCTCTCTATACCGTATCGTTCTCTATACAGTGTCTCTCTCTATACCATGTCTCTCTCTATACCGTGTCTCTCTCTATACTGTGTCTCTCTCTCTATAAACGTCTCTCTCTATATCGTGTCTCTCTATACCGTGTCTCTCTCTAAATACATCTCTCTCTATATACGTCTCTCTCTGTATACTGTGTCTCTCTCTATACCATATCGTTCTCTATACAGTGTCTCTCTCTATACCGTGTCTCGCTCTATACCGTGTCTCTCTCTATATACGTCTCTCTCTATACGTGTCTCTCTCTATATCGTGTCTCTCTCTATACCGTGTCTCTCTCTATATACACGTCTCTCTCTATATACGTCTCTCTCTATATCGTGTCTCTCTCTATACCGTGTCTCTCTCTATACCGTGTCTCTCTCTATACATCTCTCTCTATACTGTGTCTCTCTTTATACCGTATCATTCTCTATACCGTGTCTCTCTCCATAAACGTCTCTCTCTATATACTGTGTCTCTCTCTATACCGTATCGTTCTCTATACCATGTCTCTCTCTATACTGTCTCTCTCTATACTGTGTCTCTCTCTATATATATATACGCCTCTCTCTATACCATGTCTCTCTCTATAAACGTCTCTCTCTATACCGTGTCTCTCTCTATACTGTGCCTCTCTCTATACCGTAACTCTCTCTATACCATGTCTCTCTATACTGTGTCTCTCTCTATACCGTATCGTTCTCTATACAGTGTCTCTCTCTATACTGTGTCTCTCTCTATACCATGTTTCTCTCTATACCGTGTCTCTCTCTATACTGTGTCTCTCTCTCTATAAACCTCTCTCTCTATATCGTGTCTCTCTATACCGTGTTTCTCTCTAAATACATCTCTCTCTATATACGTCTCTCTCTGTATACTGTGTCTCTCTCTATACCATATCGTTCTCTATACAGTGTCTCTCTCTATACCGTGTCTCTCTCTATACTGTGTTTCTCTCTATGCTGTGTCTCTCTCTATACCGTATCTCTCTCTATACCATGTCACACTATACTGTGTCTCTCTCTATACCATATCGTTCTCTACACAGTGTCTCTCTCTATACCGTGTCTCTCTATATACGTCTCTCTCTATATCGTGTCTCTCTCTATACCGTGTCTCCCTCTATATACGTCTCTCTCTATACTGTTTCTCTCTCTATACCGTACCATTCTCTATACCGTGTCTCTCTCCATAAACGTCTCTCTCTATATACTGTGTCTCTCTCTATACCGTATCGTTCTCTATACCATGTCTCTCTCTATACTGTCTCTCTCTATACTGTGTCTCTCTCTCTATATATATACGCCTCTCTCTATACCATGTCTCTCTCTATAAACGTCTCTCTCTATACAGTGTCTCTCTCTATACCGTATCTCTCTCTATACCATGACTCTCTATACTGTATCTCTCTCTATACCATGTCTCTATGCTGTCTCTCTCTATACCGTATCGTTCTCTATACAGTGTCTCTCTCTATACCATGTCTCTCTCTATACCGTGTCTCTCTCTATACTGTGTCTCTCTCTCTATAAACGTCTCTCTCTATATCGTGTCTCTCTATACCGTGTCTCTCTCTAAATACATCTCTCTCTATATACGTCTCTCTCTGTATACTGTGTCTCTCTCTATACCATATCGTTCTCTATACAGTGTCTCTCTCTATACCGTGTCTCTCTCTATACTGTGTTTCTCTCTATACTGTGTCTCTCTCTATACCATGTCTCTCTCTATAAACGTCTCTCTCTATATTGTGTCTCTCTCTATACGTATCTCTATACCGTGTCTCTCTCTAAATACATCTCTCTCTATATACGTCTCTCTCTGTATACTGTGTCTCTCTCTATACCGTATCGTATTCTATACTATGTCTCTCTCTATACCGTGTCTCGCTCTATACCGTGTCTCTCTCTAAATTGTGTCTCTCTCTATACGTGTCTCTCTCTATATCGTGTCTCTCTCTATACCGTGTCTCTCTCTATATACACGTCTCTCTCTATATACGTCTCTCTCTATATCGTGTCTCTCTCTATACCGTGTCTCTCTCTATACTGTGTCTCTCTCTATACATCTCTCTCTATACTGTGTCTCTCTTTATACCGTATCATTCTCTATACCGTGTCTCTCTCCATAAACGTCTCTCTCTATATACTGTGTCTCTCTATATACCGTATCGTTCTCTATACCATGTCTCTCTCTATACTGTCTCTCTCTATACTGTGTCTCTCTATATATATATATATACGCCTCTCTCTATACCATGTCTCTCTCTATAAACGTCTCTCTCTATACCGTGTCTCTCTCTATACTGTGCCTCTCTCTATACCGTAACTCTCTCTATACCATGTCTCTCTATACTGTGTCTCTCTCTATACCGTATCGTTCTCTATACAGTGTCTCTCTCTATACTGTGTCTCTCTCTATACCATGTTTCTCTCTATACCGTGTCTCTCTCTATACTGTGTCTCTCTCTCTATAAACCTCTCTCTCTATATCGTGTCTCTCTATACCGTGTTTCTCTCTAAATACATCTCTCTCTATATACGTCTCTCTCTGTATACTGTGTCTCTCTCTATACCATATCGTTCTCTATACAGTGTCTCTCTCTATACCGTGTCTCTCTCTATACTGTGTTTCTCTCTATGCTGTGTCTCTCTCTATACCGTATCTCTCTCTATACCATGTCACACTATACTGTGTCTCTCTCTATACCGTATCGTTCTCTACACAGTGTCTCTCTCTATACCGTGTCTCTCTATATACGTCTCTCTCTATATCGTGTCTCTCTCTATACCGTGTCTCCCTCTATATACGTCTCTCTCTATACTGTTTCTCTCTCTATACCGTACCATTCTCTATACCGTGTCTCTCTCCATAAACGTCTCTCTATATACTGTGTCTCTCTCTATACCGTATCGTTCTCTATACCATGTCTCTCTCTATACTGTCTCTCTCTATACTGTGTCTCTCTCTCTATATATATACGCCTCTCTCTATACCATGTCTCTCTCTATATACGTCTCTCTCTATACAGTGTCTCTCTCTCTATACTGTGTCTCTCTAAACTTTGTCTCTCTCTCTATACCGTGTCTCTCTCTATACCGTGTCTCTCTCTCTCTCTATACCATGTCTCTCTCTTTATACGTCTTGTGGTGACATTGTCTCTCTCTATACTGTGTCTCGCTATTTATACTGTGTCTCTCTCTATACCGTGTCTCTCTCTATACTGTGTCTCTCTCTATACCGTGTGTCTCTCTCTATACCGTCTCTCTCTCTCTCTATTTATACTGTGTATCTCTCTATACCGTGTCTCTCTCTCTATATGTGTCTCTCTGTTTATACTGTGTCTCTCTCTATACTGTCTCTCTCTCTATACCGTGTCTCTCTCTATACTGTGTCTCGCTCTGTACTGTGTCTCTCTCTCTATATGTGTCTCTCTCTCTATATGTGTCTCTCTATTTATACTGTGTCTCTCTCTATACAGTGTCTCTCTCTATACCGTGTCTCTCTCTCTATATGTGTCTCTCTATTTATACTGTGTCTCTCTCTATACTGTCTCTCTCTCTATACCGTGTCTCTCTCTCTATACCGTCTCTCTCTATTTATAGTGTGTCTCTTTCTATACTGTGTCTCTCTCTATGCCGTCTCTCTCTCTATATGTGTCTCTCTCTATACCGTGTCTCTCTCTATACTGTGTCTCTCTCTATACCGTGTCTCTCTCTCTCTATACCGTCTCTCTCTCTCTATATGTGTCTCTCTATTTATACTGTGTCTCTCTCTATACCGTGTCTCTCTTTCTCTATACCGTCTCTCTCTCTCTATATGTGTCTCTCTATTTATACTGTGTCTCTCTCTATACCGTGTCTCTCTCTATACTGTGTCTCTCTCTATACCGTGTCTCTCTCTCTATACCGTCTCTCTCTCTCTCTCTATATATGTGTCTCTCTATTTATACTGTCTCTCTCTATACCGTGTCTCTCTCTATACCGTGTCTCTCCATCACATCCATGTTGGTTTTTTTAACCTGCCTCTCTTGTTTTCATTCTGGGCCCATTGTCCTCAGCTCTTTCATTTTCAGCTCTGCCATTCTCTCGCCCTGTCATTCTAACTCCATACCAATCTTGTCCTTGTATACACCATTTTCTGTTTCCGTTTCTTCCTTATCATTTTCCACGATTTGCACTGTAACCGTTTCTTGGCTGGTGGGCTGTGTTTTAACTTTATGTAGGTGGACAGATGTTTATATAAATGAGAGATGAAAAGATGTGGGGAAGCAGATTGTGTAGTGGTGGCAATGGACTGAACCTATGATTTCTTGGGCTGCCATCCCTAGGTCAAACATCTGAGTAGTCAGGTGCCATCTGGATTGTTGTTTTATTCCGACATACCACCAGGATCCTCTCGTCATCTCAATGTAGACTTTATTTTGGGTAGAAGACCTCTTGCAGCCTTTCTGAGCCACAAAGAGTAACTGTCTGCACTGTGTGGAGCCTACTAGACACATACGCTGGCTCACAACACTGGACGTCCCAGTCATGAGTCGATAGTTTTAGGGAGAAGACTACCATAGAGATGTTCTTTTTATCCCCCAAACTCACCCTGCATACCCATTTCCATGTGGCCGAATCTCACTGATTTCCGCTTTTCAGGAAGCTGTACACGCCCGGAAGAAGCAGACCAGGACGCTCGTCCTTGTGCTTCACCTCTGAGCAGGATTCAGTCCACTTCTGTTTACGTTCCTGTACAGACAGAATGACATCAAAATTCATAAAATCATAAATAGCAATGTAAAAAGAGGGATCCCCCTCACAGAAATTGCTTGGTGCAGCCAGGATCCGCAAGCTTAGGGCCACCCAATGGGTATGTCTGATCAGGCACTTTAGTAGTGAGACCAGCCACTGCCAGACCAGCAATTTGGCCGTGGTGCCGAGAGGAAGTGAGTGAAGATGACAGCTTTCGAGTGCAGTGGGGAGGGAGACTGAACAGGAGTCAAAAAGAGGAGGAGGAGAGATGCATCCTCAGCCCGGACCCCCTGCAGCAAGATCCTTCTATACCCCAGGGAATGCACCAAAAATGTATGGAAACATGTGTAAATCACAGCTTGTGTGTCTGTATCTGTGTCAATATGTCTGTATCTGTGTCAATATGTGTGTATCTGTGTCAATATGTGTGTATCTGTGTCAATATGTCTGTATCTGTGTGTGTGGCAGGCAGGGCCGGATTAACAAAGGGGCTGATGGAGCTGCAGCTCCAGGCCCAGGCCCAGGCCCATGGAATAGGCCCATTTAAAAAAAAAAAAAAAAACTTTTTTTTTTTTACACACTAATCTTAGGTTTGCCACCTGACTGGTATTTTAATGGCACAGACGGTATTTCAGGCTGCCTGCAGTAATACCGGCAATACAAATGCAGGTAATTTTCTCAGAATAAATGTAAATTACTCTGCAATACCAGCACCGGCCAGTAGGGGTCACTGTGGGTGGAGAGAGGCAGGGGTAGGAAGTTACAGAATATCCCTCGCTGCCTCTCTCTACTACTCACTGATCCCTGGGGGAGCAGCTACACAGCACAGAGTCCAGACAGCATCTCTACAGCTCAGGTAACTGAGGGATAGGGGAAAGGCAGCATGGGGACACATGGGGACACTGAGACACTAGGGGACACTGAGACACTAGGGGACATATGGGACACTGAGACACTAGGGGACACATGGGGACACTGAGACACGAGGGGACACATGGGGACACTGAGACACATGGGGACACTGAGACACTAGGGGACATATGGGACACTGAGACACTAGGGGACACATGGGGACACTGAGACACTAGGGGACACTGAGACACTAGGGGACACATGGGGACACTGAGACACTGGGGACACATGGGGACACTGAGACACTAGGGGACACTGAGACACTAGGGGACACATGGGGGCACAGACACTAGGGGACACTGAGACACTAGGGGACACATGGGGACACTGAGACACTAGAGGACACATGGGGACACTGAGACACTAGGGGACACAGACACTAGGGGACACATGATGACACATACACTAGGGGACACTGAGACACTAGGACACAGACACTGGGAGACCTGGGAACACTGAGACACTTGGGGACACTGGAAAACATGGGGACACTGAGACACTAGGGGACACTGAGACACTTGGGGACATATGGGGACACAGACACTAGGGGACACTGAGACACTAGGGGACATGGGGACACAGACACTGGGAGACCTGGGGACACTGGGACACATGGGGATGCTGAGACACATGGGGACGCTGTGAGACATAGGGACATTGGGAGACACTGAGACATTGGGACACGGAGACACTATGTCCCCCAGCCAGTGTCCCTAGTGTCTCAGTGTCCCCAAGTCTCCCATTGTCTGTGTCCCATGTCTCTCAGTGTGCCTAGTGTCTTCATGTGTCCCAGTGTCCCCATGTCTATGTCCACAACTGTCTCCCAGCCAGTGTCCCTTAGTCTCCCAGTGTCCCCTAGTCTCCCAGTGTCTCCATGTCTCCCAGTGTCTGTGTTCCTAGTGTCTCAGTGTGCCTGGTGTCCCCATGTCCCAGTGTCCACATGTCTATGTCCACAACTGTACCCATGTCTCCCAGTGTCGCCAAGTGTCCCAGTGGCTGTGTTCCCATGTCTTTGTCCCTAGTGTCTTAGTGTCCCCAAATGTTTCAGTGTCCCCATGTCTCCCAGTGTCTGTGTCCCTAGTGTCTCAGTGTCCTCATTTCTCCCAGTTTCCCTAAATGTCTCAGTGTCCCCATGTCTCCCAGTTTCCCCATTTCTCTGTGTCCCCATGTCTCTCAGTGTCCCCAGTATCCTAGTGACATGGGGACACACTGGGACATTGGGACACTGGTAGAAATGGGGACACAGACACTGGGAGACTAGGGGACTGAGCGACATGGGGACACTGACACTGATACATAGGGACACTGAGACACTAGGTGACTTGTGAGACTGAGACACTGGGAGACAAGGAGACACTGGGGGCAATCCATCTATACAGCAGAATCAAACTGTGAGTAGTTTGTTGGTGATTTTACAGAATTTTCTCTGATATCACTCCTTGTGATTTACATCATATGATGTCACGCATAACTAATTAATTATACAAATGATTAAGGCTGGTATTTTTTCCCAAGAAAGGTGGAAACCTTAACTACTCTTCACATACTATTGCTTAAAGGAGCACTATAGGGTCAGGAACACAATCCTGTATTTCTGACCCTATTATGTTAAAACCACCACCCTGCCCCCTTCTTGCCTCCCTAAATATAGTAAAATATTACTTGTATTCAATTCTGCAGCTGCTGGCTCAGAAGTGGTGGTCTGACAAATTACAATACTTCCCCATAGGACTGGCTGAGACTGTCAACTAGGCAGATCAGGGGCAGAGCCAGCACAAGTCCAACATAGCCCTGGCCAATCAGCATCTCCTCATAAAGATAAATTTAATCAATGCATCTCTATGAGGAAAGTTCAGTGTCTGCATGCAGAGGGTGGAGACACTGAATGGCAGTGCTGCACACTAGGCAGTACTGCCCCAGGAAGCACCTCTAGCAGCCATCTAAGGAGCGGCCAGTGGAGTTATTTTCTCTGAAAAGACAGTGTTTACTGCAAAAAGCCTGAATGGAATGATTCTACTTACCAGAACAAATACAATAAGCTGTAGTTGTTCTGGTGACTATAGTGTCCCTTTAAGTTTGGAAGCTTAAGAGGGATGTATGGGAACAAAACTTGTGTGCACTGGCTGACATTAAAGTTAATTTAGGTAATGCAGATGTTGGTCTCTCTAACACTGTGGCATGTCCCCTTTCTTCTACACTCACTACAGACACCTTTTCTCTGTCCAGACTATATACCAGGAACTTCTGCCTGCTAGTAAGAAGGTAAGGAGACAAGTGGACCAGCGAGTGCTAGGGGACAGTCCTTAGAAAGAATGGAGTGAGCGCATCATTAGATGCATTTATGTCAAGCTCAAGGTGCTGCCTGCATAGTATGCCCTTAGTTTGACAGCCTGCAGGATTGGCAGGCAGCCTGACATGCACTCATGCCAGGCTGACCTTCCAATTCTTTGGACAAACATGCCCCCTTTTTGGGCATGTTCACCCCTTTTGGCAGGTCTTGTCACGTGCTTCGCGCCAGTGGTTCACCCATTTACCCCTCCCATTGACTTCCTGCTTCACTGGACACTGCTGTTAGGGGTTATGGATTTACTTGAAAGATGAAAGCATAAATTAGAGAGAGATTAGCATAGAGTATGTGCACCATCTCCATCAGATACATGACGCTTGGGAGGTATGATTGTTATAGTGTTTTTGGTCGATAAAATTCCGTAATTAGGCCCATCATAATTGTCAGCACCAGGCCCACTGTGCTCTTAATCCGGCCCTGGTGGCAGTGTCTCTGTTAATAAGTGTGTATGTGTGTGTGGCAGTGTATGTGTATCTACATTCATCCCAGCATTCAAACGCCAACACTACACACTAATACACCCTGCATTCAAACACTACACACTAATACACCCTGCATTCAAACACCAACAAACCCACTGCTACAATTAAATACCCACACAACATACAGTGGCGTATTTTGGATTTGTGCTGCCCTAGGCATGACTAAACTCAGGCACCCCTGTAATCCATATTTGCTGCACCTCTTCTTGTTTAAGACCAACATCAACTTTTTTGACTGACAGACACACACGTTCACTGATTTGACACACACTCAGAGACCACTTATTTGACACACTCTGACAGACACACATTTACCAACAGCTACACACTCCCTGACAGACACACACATACACTCACTGACAGACACATGCACCTTCATTTACAGATACACACTCACTGACACACACACACACTTTCTCATACACTCACTAATTATTATTATTATTATTATTATTATTAATTTTGTTTTTATTTAAGTCCACCCAGCCTCCCTACCTTTGGGAGAGCTGGAGTGGATCCTCTCCCTGGGCTCCTGTGGCTGCTGGTGTGCTTAGAGCTCCTGGTGTGCTGGGAGCTTCTGTGTATGTTGGGGGCTACTGGTGTGCTGGTAGTTGCTGTGGGTGCTGGGGAGTTCCTGTAGATGCAGGGGAGCTGCTGTGGGTGCTGACGTGCTCCTGGTGGGTGCTGGGGGGCTTCCATGGGAACTGCTGTGGGGCCCTGGGGCTGACTGGCTGTCCATGGTAGGTGGTGAGGGAGCTGAGTAATGCTGAGAGCTGGAGTGACATCTTATTCCGGCTCCCAGGATGAGGGAGCGCAAGGGAGCTAAGCAAGAAGAGCACAGAGATCAGTGATCCCTCGCGCACCTGGTTAGAATATGAGCCTCGAGGAAAGTGCCGCCCAAGGCAAATGCCTTGTTAGCCTTGCGATATATACAACCCTGATGACATACAGACACACCCCACCAATCAAATGCAAACAGTACTTACAATTCAAACACCAACAATACATACAAACACTACACACAAATACAACACTGCAATCAAATGGCAACAATACATACAATCACACAACTGAGTTTACAACACAAAGAAACACCGCTTCATTTACACACACACACTTCACACAAAAACATGCTTACATTCAAACACACAAACCATGCTTAAAAATACATCCCTGCAGAAATGTGCAAATGGTAGATCCCCAGCTAGTGAAACATTGTGGTAGCTGTACGACAGCCGAGGATCTACCTTTCAGCCACCCTTGCGCTAGAGGGGGCTCAAAATATTTCTTGCACCACGGCCCTCTCTGCATGAGTTCCACCACTGCTGAAAACAACATCTATGGCTTCTCTATGATGTGCTCTCTCGAACCCTCTGCTCTTTTCACTCCAGAACACATACAATACTACAGGGTGATACTACACATTGTTATTTCTATGGCGTGCATCACGTTACAGAAACATACAGTGGTAATTTTTTTATTTTAATGAATTAAAGGCCTCTTTTTCTGGTGTCTCCTGTAAGCCATGGTCATGCAGCAATGCTAAGCATTCCCACAAACGTCCTACTATAAGAGCAGAGAATTGGTGTTGAGACAGATGCTGAGCAACTTTCCTCCAACGCCACGCCACTTCTCGATTTTTCTAAGTCACTTCCTGACATCCCAACCCACTTCCAGCCATCACTTCCTGCTCATTTCGTAGCATGTCCTGCTTACTCCTTATCACTTCCTGACATTACAAACCACTTCCTTCCAATATTTTTTGCCCATTTCCTGCTGCCGCCTGCTCATTCCATGACACTTCCTTTCTGCCAATTCTTGCTTATTCTAAGTCACTTCCTGCTCATTCTGTGACACTTCCTCTCGTGCCACTTCCTACTACATCGTGCTTACTGCTGTCCATTCCTAATTTAGGTAAAAAGATCATATTAATACAGGAGACACACATCCAATACGTACCGCACTTAAATGGCGCTGTAGAACGCAGTCCTTCACCTCAGACATGACTTGATGTGACCCATATTGAAACTTAAAGCAGGCCAAACAATGGAACGACCTCTGGTTAAAAGAAATCACAAATAATATTAGAACATACGTTATACATTTGTTACAAATTAAAAACTTTGCAGGCAATAAAACAGGACATGCAATATGCGCTATGTTCCCATATAACTCCAAGGACTGGCTAGTGTCAGCCCAGGAAGCATGATCTGTTGGTTTATTTGCTTACATTGCTAGTGAATGGGTGTGTGTAGTTGATGCAGGGAATGATTACCCATTAGAAGTGGTATGACTGATTACATCACTAGAATGGTTAGTTGGGTTGCCCGGCTACATGATATGTGCCATTTTTCTGGACTATGCACATAGCAAGTGTGACGGTAGTAAGCTGTATCACCGTCCAGTATTCCCTTTTCCCAATAGCAGAATAACAACAATAATCCACAGGGTAAAATATCGCTGGTATCGCCAAATAATCCACACATGAGCCAAAGCTTAATGCTGGAACAAGACTGATTTACTGGTAGCAACAGGCATTCAATTTATACAATGGCAGACTCCTCCTCGGGGCCAGGCTAGATAATTGAGTTTCAGGAACATACTAAACTCAATTATCTGCTGGCCAGAAACATTAACAATTTTCCACATTTTTGAAAATATACTTTATACATGACATAGGAATATAAAAATCCCTGGGTAGCTGAGGATACTGGGAGTAACACATCCAAATTGCACGAAAATCCATCCGATAGTTTTCGTGTCGCATCGTGTGGAAGTTTGACCGGCTCGCCATGTGGTTGTATCCGAGTTAGCGTTCCATGAAATTGGTAGCAAGAGCCGGTCTCCGTTCGTGCGGAATTACACGAAAACCACCACAGTTATACGGTATCTGGTTACATGTGAATGCTCCGCTCATTCGGCTGATTGAAACTCCTGAACGACAGTCTGATACTGTGAGTGGAAATCGGTCAGACAAGACTTCCATGGAGACCGGGTGTTCATGTGATTGCCATGCGGAAAATGGTTCCAGGCAATCCACGAGTAAGTCCCGCTGGCCGCGTTCGGGAGATCTAAGATGGCCGCCATCCTTTGTTCTCGCCACATGTTCGTATGCCGAATGGCGGCCACCTAGAAGCTCTCAATTACCTTGCGGTTTTCGTGGTTACTTGGTGTTCTAAGTTCTGATTGCTACCGAGGGTGGTCTCTGTTCGGTAGAACGAATAAATGTCCCGAACACAGAAATAAACAACGAATACTTTACAGTCACTTAACTAGCAGGGAGAGGAAATAACCGAATGGGTACAGGTAAACACAAGGAAATCCTTTACAGCAAGAATTTGGACTTTTTTCCTACATTTTTTAATATAAATTTGTGTATCAATTGATATTAACAGTAAGAACCTAAAATCCCTGCAGTCACGCCTACCCTCTACCATCTACTGGGCTGGCATGGAAACTCGAGATGGGGAAAAGGGCATAACATCCATGAAGTAAACATTGTACTAGGGGTCAAGATCTAATTTGGAGTAAGTTTCTATTTTCTTGCTGGAGCCCAGAGGAAACAGAAGACACAAATACTTTACTAGCAAAGTGAATAATTGGGGGTTTTGTTAATTTTTTATTTTTTATCTTTTTTTTTATTTTTCATCTGTCTGTTGGTGCAAATAATGTGTTCATCCTCTATTGGTTTTGTAGGCCCTGTGACCATTTTTGTTCATAATAACTGTTCATTTATTAAAGTGGATCTGTCGTTTTCAGGATCTTCGCATATTTAACAAAGTCCCCCGAAAGTGATAAATCTTGTGTGTGTCGTGTGTTGCGGAATGCATGGGAAGATATGTTATATATACCTGGAGCTGTCCCTTATGGATGCTACCATCATCTTTTTGCTGGCCCTTCTGCTCCTGGCATTGTTATTTGCGAGGTACCTCACTAGTGCTTTACTTTCGTGCATGTGTGAGAAGACAAGACTGAGGTCTATGGAGGATCCCGCAAGATTGCATCTCCTAAGATTGTGGTATCCTCCATAGACAAAGCCTGAATTCCACAGCTGTCACTTGTGATGGCTGCTGGGATTGAAAAGATGACAAAGTAGTACTCAACCTCAGGCTTTCAACATAAGACAAAGTAGTACTTTTTGGTATCTTTGGATTGAGTTGGAATTTCACTGAAACATCAACACAGTCTGGATCAGTATTTCATGAAGATTATATCGTTACGAAATACTGAAAAGTGACCAACCACTGTAATTTCTACCTTTGTCGTTATGGTTTATTTAGTACTTGTGTTTCGATATACCGTGCTGTCCGCACCAATCTCAGTGACTGTTTTATTCCTTCCATAAGTGCAGAGTTTTCAGCAAACCCAAACACAACATGATGTAAGCTGCACACAGTGAAACATATCCACCAGTCATGTAAAAAACACGCAGAGCGTCTGTGAGACCATGTATCAATTACACTGTCAAATCAATGTGAACGTTCACATGTTTGCACCAGTGTGTGCACTAATGGGGGGGAAACACACTGCCTCTTAAATGTTAAATTAACGGCTTTAGTTTCTTTGAGAAAATGGACGTGGTCCTTCAGCTTGAGGACATTAAGTCATTAATTGAAGAGTTTCTGACACTGAAAGAGTGAAAAGCCCCTTTTGCCAGTCGATAGGCACTCACCGGATCTTTAGTAATCTTGCAGTCAGGTTGTTTCCACTGGTGTTTTCGGCATGTTGTTGGTTTCAGTGTAAACTGCAAATGAACAAAGGCTCCGGCAGAGAATTCCTGGAATAAACAAGAAGAGGACAATGACAGCCGGATCCTGAATGTTGGCTGCTGTGGAGATCAGAGAGTTCGGGGGCAGGAGAGAAACTGGATTGAAGTAAACAGGGTTCCAATGCTCGCCAATTAACTGTTACCTGTACTGTATTTAATATTGATTCAAATAAGTTGTCTGTGTCAGTTCTTACTCTCTCTGTTTCTGGGCCCATTATACTGTGAGAAATGTGCAATAGAACAGCCAAACTGATAAATTATCCACTGTTTTCAGTATTTTATAGTCACTGCTAAAAAGTGCTAGAATGAGGTCTTGCTCATAGAGTGAGTGGAATGAAACCTTGTCCATGTAGTGTGACCTTGTCCATGGAGTGAGACCTTGTCCATGGAGTGAGGCCTTGTCCATGGAGTGAGACCTTGTCCATAGAGTGAGACCTTGTCCATAGAGTGAGACCTTAGACACGCTCTCACTCCATGGACAAGGCCTCACTTCATGCACAATGCCTCACTCCATGGACAAGGCCTCACTCCATGGAAACACCATATTCCTGGACCATCCTGTCTTGTTCCTGATATGTAAACACCATATTCCTTAGTAGAACATTTATTACCTATGTTTTGAGAATTGAGCAAAAACCCTTTTTACTCCATATTTGTGAGTACATTTCCAATGATCTTTTTTTACCCTTTTGCACACTAAATATTTCTCAGTTTTTTTCCACATACTATTATGGTAAGGACCACTACCACTTACATATCTGAGAGTGAAGATTATACTACTTCATGCCAATTGGTAGGGGCCAGCTTTAGGCTCCATAAAATGTAAGTGCATATTGATATATTATATCCATCACATCCACATATCAAATACACTACACTATATACTGTCATCTATTTTTGTTTCTATTGCATATCCTCTGGACTACTACTCATTGAATCAAGTGATACACCTCCTATCCTCAGGTGGGGATTATACCACCCAGACCCACAGAAAGCTTTATACACTGTAAGCATATCCCTCTTTATTTTTCTAAACAATACGTAGACTTACTACACTATATAGTTGTCCTACTTTCTCCTTGTCTCGTTACATACTTGCCCGCATTTGAAGATTTTTCAAGGTGCTGTTCCCTACATTTTATGCACACATCCTACCTCTGACTGGATGAGAGAGACTCACCTTTCTTCCTAATTATAGAGCTGACTCTCCTGTCAAGTAACAATGAGAAGACAAAGTATTTACATGGTCATCGATATACATCTGGCTTTTTATTACCGTTTCTGTTGCTTCAGTTATGGAGAAGACATTGAAGGCATTTTGGATGTGTTCCCTCTTGTGGAAATGTTCCATTACAATGTTGACAGCCTGTGTCTGTCTGTCCGTGAGCTCATTCTTCGGTATCTCAGCATAGACGGTGAGCGAGAGAAGGACACACACCATCCACGGTGCTCCTGTAAATCTTGTCATCTTTCCAAATCTTCTTTGAGAACCAGGCGTTTATCCAACCCGGGCGCGTCCGTCCTCTCTGATATTACACTCTAGGTACGCTCTGTCCAAAAACTGAAAAAGAAACATATACCATATACGCCATGTGTATATTTACTGCGCTAACTCTGCATTACTCAAAGAGCCGAGAAGTGAATTTGGGAAGAATTTCTGAAGAATGCATTCGACACGGATTGTGGCTGGCCGGTAACATGAAGCATTGCTGACATGGACAGGTCTGGCTAATTTTCCATTTAATGTTAACATTTGCTGGTCAATTCTTGGTTTATTGAATAACCCTGATATATTCAGTACAATGTTTCTGCAATACTGCGGCCTACATCTAATTGAATGTAATGTCCCATTGTACAGCGCTATGGAATTTGCTGGTGTTAGATAAATAATAATAAAATAATAATGTTCAAGCCTGCTGTAGGTTTGTAAAAAATAAAACAATATTGAATTATCTCGCAGCAGGGGTAGCTTTACTGGGTCGTCTTTGTATCAGCATGAATTTTAACAATATTAGCTGGTCCTTTATGACTCTGTAAAGAAATGTCAATGTCAGCCTGATTGTCACCCCTTTTTCCCTGGCAACCTATTAGGTGAAAATACCTTTAGCTTCCCTTATTGCACAGTGTGTTTAATTAGAACTTTCACATTCCCTGTTGATTGCCTGCCTCTTGTGTGTGATTAATTAACAGAGCAGGAAAAAATATCTTCCAAAGTTAACACACTGTGCTGTAAGAGAAGCCAAGACTCTGTTACAGGAAGTGTTTAGGAAGGCTGTTAGATAACTGACGGGGAGGTGTGACTAGAGTTGTATAAACATAGTTAATTAACTCCTAAATGGCAGGGACGGGATCTATACACCAACTGCTTCATTAGCTAAAGTTGTTTTGGTATTTAGGGTGTCCAGTTGAGTGCATGTGATAGGAGTTTGGCCTTGTAGTCAATCTGCATTTTTCTCCATGTACAAATCTGTCTGCATTAAAAAAAAGTATAAAAAAAGTGCATAATTTACTATAAATATAATAAATAAATATAAAATCTTAGTGATACTTCTAAAAGTGATACAAATTCAAACTGCAGCGCTTAAACAAATGAAGTGCATCCAAATGTAAAGAAATTAAAAAGTGAATTATAGTTTTAAAAGGATTTTACCATCTGCACTAATGTGTAATTTTTCTTGTTTTTAAGGTTTTTTGTACTGTTAAGTATTTTATTAACAAAATTTGAACTCTTTGCTTTGTCCAGCATCGGCACTTTATTTTAATGGTGGTATTGATATTTAAAGCACAAGGAATTATTAGTGTGTTTTACACAATAAAGACACTTATTGTGTAAAACAGGTTTTGAGTGATGAAGTTCTATACACCAATTATCTGGTTACCAAGCAGTGTCTCTGTAAGTAGTGTTGGTGCGTGGAGTGTCTCTGTAAGTAGTCTTGGTGTGTGGAGTGTCTCTATAAGTTGTATTGGTGTGTGGAGTGTCTCTGTAAGTAGTCTTGGTGTGTGGAGTGTTTCTATAAGTTGTGTTGGTGTGTGGAGTGTCTCTGTAAGTAGTGTTGGTGCGTGGAGTGTCTCTGTAAGTAGTGTTGGTGTGTGGAGTGTTTCTATAATTAGTGTTGGAGCGTGGAGTGTCTCTGTAAGTAGTGTTGGTGCATGGAGTGTCTCTGTAAGTAGTGTTGGAGCGTGGAGTGTAAGTGGAGCGTGGAGTGTAAGTCTCTGTAAGTAGTGTTTGAGCGTGGAGTGTCTCTGTAAGTAGTGTTGGTGAGTGGAGTGTCTCTATAAGTTGTATTGGTGCGTGGAGTGTCTCTGTAAGTAGTCTTGGTACGTGGAGTGTCTCTATAAGTAGTGTTGGTGTGTGGAGTGTCTCTGTAAGTAGTGTTGGTGCGTAGAGTGTCTCTATAATTTGTATTGGTGTGTGGAGTGTGTCTGTAAGTAGTGTTTGTACACGGCTAAGGGGGCCTACACAGCCACGCATTGTTCTTCAAACCCAGAAATAGGGAGAAATGACAAATAAATGGCTAATTTTCTACCATAATGGAGCATCTGGAATAATTCCTGGTTTAATAAAATTGCCCCTGAGATTTGATAATTACCCCTTGTACTCAAAGCACGTACGGATTGAAAGTGCTGTTAGTAAAGTATTAGTTTTACCTCTGATCCACCGGGCGAGGAAGGAAGAAAACAGCCTCAGCTCCCAGCGAGAAATAACACTGCTTTCACTTTCTGTGTTTGGAATATAATCTGAAGCAGCCTCGTGATCAGGGGAACCAATCCTGTCTCAGACTAAAACCAGGAAGAGTTCTTTCACATCCAGAAAGATTCTTCAAACTGACACAAAGTTCAAAACAACACATTAATCAAACCGACACTGAACTAAGGATAAAATACCAATCAAACCGATCCTAAACTAAAATACCAATCAAACCGATCCTAAACTAAAATACTAATTAAACCGATCCTAAACTAAAATACTAATTAAACCGATCCTAAACTAAGAATAAAATACCAATCAAACCGACGCTAAACTAAGAATAAAATACTAATTAAACCGACCCTAAACTAAAATACTAATCAAACCGATGCTAAACTAAGAATAAAATACCAATCAAACCGACGCTAAACTAAAATACTAATTAAACCAATCCTAAACTAAGAATAAAATACTAATTAAACCGACCCTAAACTAAAATACTAATTAAACCGACCTTAAACTAAAATACTAATTAAACCGACCCTAAACTAAAATACTAATTAAACCGATCCTAAACTAAAATACTAATTAAACCGATCCTAAACTAAAATACTAATTAAACCGATCTTAAACTAAGAATAAAATACCAATTAAACCGACCCTAAACTAAAATGCTAATTAAACCGACGCTAAACTAAAATACTAATTAAACCGACCCTAAACTAAAATACTAATTAAACCGACGCTAAACTAAAATACTAATTAAACCGACCCTAAACTAAAATACTAATTAAACCGACCCTAAACAAAGAATAAAATACTGATTTCACGAACCGTAAACAAAGCATTGGATCTGGAATATTTACAAAGCACCAGTTTTAAACTAAGTCAGGAACGCGTGTATCCGGTAGTTGTTATTCACTCGCTTTTTGCACACAAATGATAATTTTAAGACCTATTCGGCAGAGCAATGGTTAACCATATAGCGGTGTGCCAAAACGTTCTAGCTGGCCGCCACATTAAAATGTAACAGAGAAAAAGCCTGGAGTGGGTCGTTATGAGCCCAATATCGGTAGAAGGCAGGTTTACACCTCCCTCATGCTCCCACTTACCATTCCACAGGTGGGGTCTACTAAACAGCCCAGCTGTTAATAATGGCCCCATCGCCTGTTAAATACTGAGCGGTGACATGATGGTGGTGGCATGTCTACTAAACAGCTCAGCTGTTAATAATGGCCCCATCGCCTGTTAAATAATGAGCGGTGACATGATGGTGGTGGCATGTCTACTAAACAGCTCAGCTGTTAATAATGGCCCAATCGCCTGTTAAATAATGAGCGGTGACATGATGGTGGTGGCATGTCTACTAAACAGCTCAGCTGTTAATAATGGCCCCATCGCCTGTTAAATAATGAGCGGTGACATGATGGTGGTGGCATGTCTACTAAACAGCCCAGCTGTTCATAATGGCCCCATCGCCTGTTAAATAATGAACGGTGACATGATGGTGGTGGCATGTCTACTAAACAGACCAGCTGTTAATAATGGCCCCATCGCCTGTCTAATGCTGAGAGGTGACATAGTGGTGGCATGTCTACTAAACAGCGCAGCTGTTAATAATGGCCCCATTGCCTGTTAAATACTGAGCGGTGACATGATGGTGGTGGCATGTCTACTAAACAGTCCAGCTGTTCATAATGGCCCCATCACCTATTAAATAATGAGCGAAGACATGATGGTGGTGGCATCTCTACTAAACAGCCCAGTTATTAATAATGGCCCAGTTATTAATAATGGCCCCATGTGGTGACATGGTGGGGCATGTCTACTAAACAGCTCAGCTGTTAATAATGGCCCCATCACCTGTTAAATACTGGGCGATGGATATGATGGTGGAATGTCTACTAAACAGCCCAGCTGTTAATAATGGCCCCATAGCCTGTTAAATACTGAGGGGTGACATGATGGGGCATGTCTACTAAACAGCCCAGCTGCTAATAATGGTCTGTAACAGATCCCATGTTATTGCCATTTAAAAAACTCTATTTGTGCCCATTGGATTTTGGACCACTGTTTCTGCCCCTTTAAATTGTACTGGAACAATTCTGCACCTTTGAAATGGCACTTCGGATGCAGCCGAAGTGCCAAAGTAGTCGAAGTGGCCGCCATTCGACATACGAACACATAGCGGCGGCCATTTGAATTCAGTCGAACACGTTCAGCGGTGTTTGGCCGTCGAGTTCATTGAACTCAAATCAGATACGCGACGGCACGAACACAAGAAATTTTAACTAAAGAAAACAGAATCCCCCCTGCTCAAATAGATTTTATTTTAGAAGGTATTAATATCATTTTAACCAACAACTATTTTTGGTTTTTTGACTCCTTTTACCTACAAAAACAAGGCACTGCGATGGGTACAAGGTTCGCGCCAAGCTATGCCAACCTCTTTATGGCCGACTGGGAATCCACGGCCATATGGGGAAGGCACGCTTGGTGTACGAACCTTGTAACATATTTTAGATATATAGATGATTTGTTTTTTATCTGGGATGGCACAGAAGCTCTTTTTAACTCTTTTATCCACCACCTCAACATCAACAATAGAGGCATTACCCTAACCCATGAAACAAGTAAGGAATCTATTAATTTTTTAGACCTCAACATCTTCATTACAGACAACACCATCCACACCAAAACATTTTTTAAAAAGTCTGCGTCAACACAGCTATCGAAAGATCTAGCTGCCATTACAAACCTTGGTTGGAAAGTGCCCCTCAAAGCCAATTCCTTCGTCTCAGAAGGAATTGCTCCCAAATAGAAGATTTTAACAAACAATCAAATTATCTAAAAGAAAAATTTATTGAGAAAAATTACTCACCAACCCGCCTCAACACCATTATAAATACCATCACCAAAAAAGAAAGAGCAGACCTCCTAACTTACAATACCCAACCCACCACCAACACCATGCCCCTTCCTGTTATTTTCAATTTTAATAACAAAAGTGGCCATGTCAAAAAAAATTATCAAAAAACATTGGCACCTCTTAAAAGAAGACGAAATACTTAAAAATATTATACCTGACAAGCCTAATGTTGTCTTTAGAGGTGCCCCAAACTTCAAATCCATTTTAACCACCAATTTTACAAAAGAAACCAAACCTACTTTTAATTCTTTTATGCCCAATGCCAGTGGCTTTTATAAATGTAAAAGATGCATTGTATGCAAAAACACAGACCCCTCGTCCCTTCCAAAACCACCAGTTTTAAATCTAATATCACCAACAAAACCTATAAAATTAAAGATTTTATCAGTTGCGATACCAAAAATGTCATCTACTTGTTGGAGTGCCCTTGTGGTCTCCAGTATGTAGGGATGACCACAAGAAGTCTTAAAGTGAGACTGAGTGAACACTGTAGAAATATCAAAAAGGCTACCTGAATCACTCAGTCTCCAAACACTTTTGTACACATAACAACGACATAAGACACCTTAAATGCATCGGCATAAAAAAATGTATAATACCATGGAGAGGTGGTAACATTAAGAACATATTAGGTAAAGCTGAGATGGAATGGGTTTTTAATCTCAAAACTCTTACCCCATCTGGTTTAAATGTTGATTTTGACCTGTTTAATTTTATTTAAATTCCTATATACAACCCTTATCTACATGCTTTTATTCTTTATGTCTGGACCTAACCAACCCTCATAATAATAATAATCTTTTAAGTTTTATTTTTTCATCTATGCCTTTCCATTTATGTATCTTGTATTCTGTGTAATCTTTTATTTAATTTTATTTAATTTTATTTTTATTTTATCTATTATTTTCATTTAACATCTGTATTATTACTCTGGGGTATAATATAACCCCTATTTAAATCATTATGTTTGGAATTATATTACCCCCTTTTCATGCATACTCCATTTACATATATCTCTGTATCTCTGTACCTTTAAACCATCTATTTTTTTTTGTTCTTTTAATGAACTTTAATCAAACCCTTTTTTTTTTGTTCTTTTAATGAACTTTAATCAAACCCTTTTTTTTTGTTCTTTTAATGAACTTTAATCAAACTTTTTTTTTTTTGAACTTTAATCAAACAACTTTTTTTTTTTTCTTCCTTTCTTTCTCTTTAAAAACAACTTTCTCACTCTAGTTTTTTTTTATTTATTTTTTTATTTAAATTCTTTATTTTTGTTGTGCATGTTATAACAAAAGGACTTGCACTGCCACGACAGCATGGGCAAGTACAATAATAACAGTAGAGAAAAACAACATTATGGCATTCGTAAACCAGCGCAAATTTTTAAGGGGAGCTAGTAGGTAGCGATAGGTTAATGCTCTAATACATTACATTCCCACCCATTGGGTATGTTATTGGCTTCAGATAGTGTGCTATACATAGGGCTCGGTTCAGTAACGCATCAGGGCTCTATACATTGTTCATACTATAGGGTAGTGGTAGCTATATTGTCCTGTATACCAGCCTCAAGTCAGAGTTGTTCCTGCGCAGATTAGGTCAAACGTCAGGGTTTAGTAAGTGCTAAGACAGTTGCTTTATTGGGCATGCAGTGTTAACGCGCTTTGTTAGGTAACTGTTCAAGCTAGGTACATGCTGTAACTCCTTCTGTCACAATGAACTGCGTAAATGGGAAAAAACAATAGCTTAGGGTCGGTACCAATTGTTACGTCACATGTCATCGCTCCCTTGTCTAAACCTTTCCGCCCCATTAGAAACATTACCGTGTAATATTAAGATTGAAGTACAATCGTTAACATGGCGCAAAAATTTTTTTAAAACATAAACAAAACTGAGCAGAGTAAAACAAATACATGCCGTGGGCATATCGGCCCCTGTGGTATGGCTTTTAATGGGCCAAGTAAGGTTGAATTTGCCAGGGGGACCGTGTAAGTGCTGGGTCAGATGAGGTGTTTTCTGGTAACGGACCCAACCAGCCCGCTAGGGCTTGTGCTCAATCAGGTTGCAACTCAACTTAAGGTTACCAACTGAGTAGGGTGAAGGGGTGCAAA